CCACAAATCAGACCTACACCCATGGAGGTTGATAATGTACAAGGGGGAAGACCCGCCGGATTCCAATGCCACCGGTGCAAGGGATACGGGCACTTTGCAAAGGATTGTGCCACCAAGCCGCAGCCTGGGGAACGTGCTACTACGGGTCGGGACGTCAGGCGCCATAGCATAAGTAACATCGAGGGTTGACCAGACCAGCAGGGAGATGCGCCCGAGTCGTACTGCGAAAATACATGGCCATGTATTCCCATGGGAAGCACGAGCTGGAACCTTGAAGCTAAAAAGTTATTTCGGAAAGCTGGAGGGACGTACCATCCGTGCCCTAGTGGACTCCGGGGATATGGGAAACTTCGTGGCTAAAGGGATACTGCCGGAGGAAAGCAAGCAAAGGTGTCGCGTGATGACCAACGACCTGGACATCACGCTGGTGGATGGGAGCAAAGTAAGGGACGCCGTAAGGCGTCATGGACTGAAGCTCGTTATGGGAAGCTGTGAGATGTCTCTGACTGCGGTTGAGATACCGTTAGGGACTTTCGACCTAATTTTAGGACTGCCGTGGCTGGAAGAAGTGGAACCTGAGATCGATTGGATTACCCGGGAAATGACCATAGGCTGAGACGTCATACGACTGGTGACCACGGCCACCCTGTACCACACGTCACCATGAAGGGTCCCACAAGTGCCCCACGCTAGTCAGGGCACCGGCCGAGGAAGCTGCAGAAAGATGCGAGCACAAGCTGCAAAGACGGACTATCTGGACTACTCAGAGGACGACAAAGAAGAATGCCATCCTGACTACCAAGCGCTCCAAGCACTTAGTATGGAGGGACCAGGACGCCACACTTTCAGTCAGGATATCCTGAACGAGTTAACAACTCGTAGCACCAACAGCGAGGGAGCGACAAACGAGGAGATAGCAAACTACATAAAAGAAGAAAGTTATAACGAGCCGCGGGAACTCACAACGGAGGGAACTCTATGGGATAGAGGTGGCCACTCAAAGATGCCATCCGGTCCGTTAAGTCCGGTCCGTTAAGTCCGGTTCGTTAATTTTTATCAGCTGTCTGTTAAATTTCGTTAAAGAAAAAGGGAGAAATATTCAGAAAAAACGAAAAAATCCAAAAAAATAAAAAAAAAACCCAAAAGTTCACAACAACTGCGGCTAGTTGAAAATCTAGTATGCATAGGTTGAAATAAAATATAAACATACTCTCTAATAGCGAATTGCATAAACTATAAGTATGATTAAAACCCAAAAATCCCCAAAAAATCCAAACAATTTTAATTAATTTTTAATTAATTTTAGTTAATTTTTGGTTAATTTTTGTCTTTTTTCGTTATTTTCCGTTAATTAATGGAAAATTAACGGAAATTAACCTCTGTCCGCTATTAACGAATCCGGGTGGCCACCTCTACCATGGGAACCAACCCCCGATGCCCAGGACGTCACCCTGCTACTACCGTATAGTGCGAAAGAAGAGGATTGGTACCCGAAAACAACTAATTTAGTTGCTCCTCTTTAAAAGAGGAGATCCGCAGAGAAGATGACCCCGAAGGTCAACCACCACCTCAAGTGGCCTGCATGGAGGGCTAGGAGAACCAATTCCCCGCTCAAGACACCGTTGACGAATATGACGACTTGATGACCGGTAATACATCCTACGAGGACACCGCAAACGAAATAACCGAGGCGGATGACAAAATTGACGACTCTGATGACCCGTCACCCGTAGGGGGAGCAAGGGGGTTGCAGCCCCCTCCCACGAGGGATGTGACCACGAAACATGAGGCGCCGGTGGTTGCCAACGAGCTGCGAAGGAGTGAGGAGTGCAAGGACCGACTTGGGCTGGACGACACACGAGCCGACGCTCAGAACACGATGAGCGACTCAAGGAAACGTCGTGCGAGGAAAAGGCTTCACCGAGGCGGTACGCTAAAGAAGCGACGGGCTAAGCTGGTGGAGAGACGCGCGTCAACACGAGGGCAGGACGTCAGACAGTAGCCTGCCATGACCGACCCGCTGGATCGAGCGAGAGGGACAGAAAGATGGTCTGAGACGACCGCCGCACTTCCCTACGGTGGCGCCCGACAGCGAGGAGCAGGGCGATGGACCCGCGCCTTATTTATAGGCTTACTGACGGTCCTGTTCGCTACCATTCTGTTCATTGCCACAGCACCAAGGCCCCCACCTGCCACACCGAACAACCCAGGCCCGCAGCAGCCAATGGGCCGTCAGACCAGCTACCCGGCAAGGCTGCGCAAGGGGACCATGGCACGCAAGAGGACGCTGAAAAGCACGGAGGCCAGCTTGGCGCTCCCGGACAGCCCAGTCCGCTGGCTGGAGCTGGTGCAGCGTGACAAACGTCCAGGGGCTGCGACGACTGAGGACGCCCCACCACCAAACCAACAGTGGAAGCGTTGGGAGCAAACCAATGACACCAAGCGACTGCGCCGCATAGAGGCGGACATCAGGGAGTGGTGGTGACAAGGAGAGGGGTCTACTGAGCGAATCTACGCCGAGCTGGAGGACGACCCCTAGACCAGAGTTGTCCAACCGCATTGGGGAGGCGACTGGACAAGGACGTCCGCACGAACTACCGAAGACACGGCCCCAGCCAGCCCAATGGACTTGGGCAACAACGACCCGTGGGACCCGCATCCGTGGGCCTGGCGCATACAGCCAAAGTGGGGTGGTGACTGGGCACGGGTATAGCAGAGAGGGAGACGAACTGACCGCCATTAACGGGGCGGGGGGACGCGTGCTGACGCTCGCAGCAAGGGTGTAAGGGTGTAAGGGCTGGGCCCTTAGCACTATATATTAGAACCATGGGGAGCTGTATATTAGAAGCGAGGAACATTGTATATTAGGGACGCCACTGGGAGCATTGTACAATAGTATTTTATTAGGGGTATCCTGATGGGATTGGGTGCCATGTTGGGTCAACACAGGATCCATATTAAGGGCAGACCTGCGGGTATGGGAGGCCTACTTGGGACGGGTGCTGGAACGGGAAGTTCACATGGGAATAGTAGCTGACTCAACCGTGAGATACGGGGGACACAAAGGGACAGGGATACGAATTTGAACCAAGCCTGCTATGACTACTGGGCTACCTTGTTGCCGCCCTTGGGCAACTATATAAACGAACACTAACCAGATCGACCTGTAATCAATGGTTGTACAAAGTTCTCTCTCTCTCTCTTGCCGCCGACCAGCCTCGACTCGAACGGGGAAACGGGCCGTGTCCCGTCTGGCCAAAAAAGGGGAACCGCCCCTTACAATGTGGTAGGATGCACGGCCAGGTTCCATATATTGCAGGCTCACAAGCCAAGCATGCGTCTACTCCCTTATCAATGCACTGGGACGGGGACGTCCCACCTCCTTGAGGGGGGCGAATGTTACGCACATTGGCCTGATGTGGGGGATGCCCTACTAACGTTCTCTTGGCATGGGGGGACGCCCTGCCCAAGATACGGTAACAGTTCTCCAACCATATTACATTATTATACAATATGGGAGTAGGTCATGGTGGTCCCGCCTAGGTCCCCGTAAAGACCTAGATGCCCGGCGAGGTGGGTCTGCGGCTCAAAGAGGGCAAGAGCCCCACACCCACAAATTTCACGTATCAGGCGTGGCCCCGAATGGATTGGCCGGCTCTCCCAAAGCTCGCGCCCGCTACGCGCAGCTATTGGCCTCCTTGTGCACTGCGATTCCTCACCAATTCCCGCTGATTGCTTGCTTCAATGCACCTTGGACTCCAAGGACAACCGCGAAATGAATGAACTGTTGGCAGTGTTGAATGAATTCCCAATGGCGAAGGATGCCTTGCGCGAAGGCGCGGGAGCACAGAAGCGGTTCTTCAACTGCGTGGAAGCCTTCCGGGGAGACCAGCCACGTCTGGTGAGGTTTTTGCTTGTGCCACACGGCCCCACTATGCGAATTGCCTCAGTTGCCGATGCGCTCATTGCCTCAGCTGCCAATGCGCTCATTGCAGCTCCTGAATGATGGCAAATCATTGCCCTTGCGCCTTTGCATGTCATTCGTTGCTGTCAGCGCATATTGTGGTGACAGTCATCCGTTTTCTCTGTTGGTGGGGGCGCCCGATGGCGCATCGAATTGGCAAAAATTTGGCGCGTCAAAGGGCACCGTGTCGCAGAAAGCAAGCAGTATTTGGGGTGAATTTCAAGCATGAACGCGTAGTTTCTCTTTGGGCTGCAAAATAAAGATATTGCATTTGTCGATCTACTAGAAGGGATGGGATCGCAGAAATCTGCTTTTGGCATTCAATTCTTTGGGCAATCGCCAGAGCCGCGCTTGCGGTGATAGCGCCTTGCAGGTGCGAGGGCTGCATTTGCCGCCGTTGTAAAACAGTTTTTTTAAGCAAATGTCATCACATGATCAAAATCAACTTGTCCAGACAAGTGTCATCAAATATTTCACAACCTAGCACATCCAACTTGCAAGACATGCCACCGGCACCCCCTCGCACAGGAACAAGAGCTATTTATGGGCCAGTGATGACACCGGTGCGTCACGGCTTCTAAGAATCGCCGAAGTTCACGCAGAGCAAGACTTGCAAATTTGGACGCCTCTGATGAAAGTCCGGACCGCCACACAGGACTTCTCCAAATTCTGCGCAGGTGGAGTGAGGCGCCCTAAAAACTGATACTGGCAAATGACTGGTGGTTGTGGCGGGGAATTTGAGAATCCAATGCCGGCTCCGGCTGTCAGCCGTCAGGGGACTGTGTGCATCCCATCGTGGACGTGGCGTGCATGAATGCCTCTGAATTTGAGGGTGCTGCCATCTGTTTTCACGTTGCAAGCTGTCCTCAGCCATCACGGTGTGCAGTCATGCGGAAAAGATTTTGGCCGCCAACAATTGCCGAAAAATAGCCGAGGGGAGTGCTCGCGCTGCAGCCATCGACTCCCAGCCTCTCCGTTGGGGCGGCGCCAAGCCGAATGGGGTGCATTGCTGGCTCCCACGTGGCCACTGCGAGGGTCACTGCAAGGCACAAGAAAGAGGGAAGGGTGGCCATGTATTTGTGGCATGGTGCATGGACGTCACACGAGACCTACCATGATCCGTATGTGTGCGAGTTTGGACACCCAGATACGTGATGTGCGCAGCACCGGCATAAGGCCAGATGGAACTTGAGAGGAGCCGGCGTCGATGTGAGGAAGCACCCACAAGGAGATTGAGTTCGTGCAGTGGACACAGGAATTGTGGCAGAAGGGTATACACCTGTTCGCCTGTGTAAAAAAAGCAGGCACCTGTTGTGTGGCGAGTAGCTCTTGTATATCAATTGCTGCTTGCCATCCCTTACAGTTTGAGCTATTTCCTCATGGTGACTCCATATCACGAACAACTCGCCTCTCTTGCAGTTAATCCACCTACACTCCTGCCGCCACCCTTTGCTGCACAGGCGCAGGACTGGAAATGTCATAGCCGAGGCAGGGCAACTTCGACTGTTGAGGTTTGACAGTGGCCATTGGCCATCACACAGATTCGCGATTGGGAGCACGCTGCTCACTTGGGGTCCAATCGCTGGCTCTTGTTACAGAGCCCCAGTGCTTGTTTCCATTCAATGCTGGCACGCCTCAACAAGCTTTGCCGCTGAGCGCCCCAGACATATTGTAATACAGAACATTGCAAGACAACAAAAGCACCCTTAGAAAGCAATTCTGATCACATGTGCATGTGCTGGTGGCAACATGTGGTGTTGGGCAGCATTGTTGTGCAACGAAACACGTGCTGGCTGCCACGCAGATGCGCACCGTTTTTAGCTTCATGAAGCAGATGGGCGCCAGCCTCCATTGACAGCAGAGTGGAGGATTCTGGATACCTCTGGCCAGTGCATCAGAGTCACAGATCACTGGCAGGCTACATTGATGTTGGGCCATGCTCCAACAAAAGCGGACAAGAACCCAGTCACATCACATCATCGGCTGCTACTGTGCGATTAACTGCAGATTCCAGCTGGCCCACTAGTAAGCTTCCTGTTTCGACCAAAACTGCTCCTTTAGTTGATTGCAGTGCGTGAGCTCCATCTGCTGCGCTGCTTGCTCCCCCTGCCAGTTCCTCACCCTGCGCCTCCTGATCTTCTCTTCCCGGCACCGGCTCTCAAGCCAGTCTCTGAGCGACGCCTCGATCTACAGTACAAGCGCAGCAAAGAACTCCCCTTAGCACACTCGTTGTTCATCAGGCACATTGAAGCATCAGCACCAAAACGCCTCTGTCCAGCACTGTTCGAATTCTGGTGATTACATTCACACAAGAGTGACCAACACGGTTTCTGCAAGTTGTAGCATAACCAGCAATACTTCCCACACAACAATGCTCCCAGACAATTCACTTGTTCCTGCACCTCCATTTGCTAATGTGGGGTCTGCAGTTGCTGGGCAATGTAGACACTGTCTCCCCAACACAGAAATTGCACACAACAGGACCAGCTTAGTCCCGAACAGCAAACCAAAAACCAGAAACTGAAAACTGCAGTGTTATATTTTTATGGTAGGAGAACAGCACACGTGCCTCAGGCTTGTCCACACCTGGATTTCCAACTGCACCCGATAGTAGCCACCTGGTGGGTAAGCCTTGTCGAACTGCGATCTCGACTTCACGAAAAATGGCACAGAAAACCTTCTGGTGTTCATTTGTTCTGTGAAAGGGGCCTCCCTTGACATCTTGTACAGTGGCTCAGAGGGCCCAGAGAGGAATGTGTACATGAACAGCACTAGGAGTGGCAGGACATGCATCAAGCTCATGAAGTTCACACTCTGTGCACCACCGTCTGCACGAGCACGCTGAAAGTGGGCTCGGGGATGAGTGTGAAACACACGAGACCTTGCGTGAGGAAACGCGCCCCTGCATGCAGCCAGGAGCAACATGTCAGCCCACCAAGATATCGAGGCACAAAACTTCACTGTTGATTACATTCATCCAAAGCATTGCAAGTCACTGGCCTTTCACTTGCTGAGCACGTACAGTACCTATTTGCTGGCACAAACATTGCTCTCAATGAGACATTTGATGATGTTGAAGCACATCAGCACTATGTGAAAGCAAGCATCGACAGCCAGATAAACACTCAGATGCTCCATGCCCAAACGCACGACTGCACACGTACCCAAAGAACATGTTGAATATCTCGTGTGGATCCAAGTCTTCAGCATAGAATGAGTGCGCTCCTGGGTGCATCCCATGCCCCCGCTGCTCTGGACGGTCCTCATGACCGAAACGATCGTAGTTGGAGCGCTTCTCTGGATCGCTCAAGCAGGAAAATGCCCGAGAGACAGCTGGAGCAAGTTGGAAGCACAGAGCATGAGATCAACTTCCATCAGCAACTGTGCTGCCATCTCACCAGCACCAGCAGAAGTATATTTAAACGTGTCACAAGACATTGTGCACTTGGTTTTTGGTAGATTGAGGTCACTGACACATGGATTTGTTGCTCCTTGCATAGCCGCTCACAATTTGCAACATTGACCACTGGAATTCGACCAGCCCTGTGCGCTTCATGTTTCCATGCGTCAACAATTACACAATAGAGGCATTACAATGGTGCGTCACAATAGAGGCCTTTGCATGACAAGCACAATTGCATATACACCCACAAGAGGGAGCAACTGGAAGCTATCAAACACTCCAATACAGAACTGCATTTCACACTCCAGTACCTTTGAATGCCTCCTCTGCGCCATGAGCCTTGTTCTTGTCAGGGTGCAGCTTCAGTGCCAATTTTTTGTATGCCCTCTTTATTTCTTCTTCGTCCGCATCTTTTGACACCCCAAGAATGACATAGAAGTCTTTGTCCCTCAGTATTTTCCGGACCAGCTCCTGTTGCTCCTTTGTGGCTGACTGGCGGCTCCCAGAGCCTGCAGTGCTCTCGTCCGGTCTTTCAGAAGCAGGGATGCTCCCATTGCGACGACGCAGGCCCTCCCCAGTTTCGGGTGCACTGGATGCACTTGTCGACGGCCCATTTGCCCCATTTTCATTCCCTGAACTCAGATTTTCGAAATTTGCTATGAACGCAGAAACCTGCAAGACAGCTTGTTTCTGATCAGGAAAGCATCGTGCCCCCAGGGCGCCATTCACTGTCTGCTGAACATGGGGTGGTATTCGGGACGCATGGACGGCAGTGCAGAGCTGACAAGAACCAACCCAGCAAGTGGCTCCACTCGAAAGAGGAGCCACCCATGCTAAACCATGTAGCAGCCCAACATCCCATAAGGCTGCCCTGGGCCATCCAACGGCGGATTACAGCAACACAGCGACTGCCGTCTTCAGCATTCTCCGCTGCAGCGAACCCCGCCCATTGCATCAACGCCCTGCGCTCCCGGAGCGAGCCACGGCGCTCGTCCCCAAGGTCTGCCCGCGCCAAAATCGAACAGCCCCCGCCGCCCCTCCCGGCCCCCACCTCCTCGCAGGCGCACAGCTTCCTGGCCTTGGCCACGAACCGCTGCGCCCGCGCAATGTCCTTCGCCTGCAGGGCCCTCTTCGCTATCTCGAGACAACGGAGGGCCTCATCTTTGTTCGCGATGTTGGTCATCGCACGCCCCCGCCGCCCCACCGCACCTCAGCTCCCACTCAACTGCTCAACACCACACAGGGGGTGGACACGCAGGCGTGTTATCGGGGTCACGGAAGATGCAACGGCCCGCCCCTCCCTCCCTCCTCCTCAATGAGCGCCGCGCAAGGCGCACGTTCGTGCCAGCCCGCGACGCCAATTCACCGACAGCCGCCCTGACAATCGGGATGGCCCTGAGCGCGGTTGACGAGAATCCCCAACGGCGCGATCGGACGCCGGGGGCGATCTCTGGTTCCCCGGCACCCGGGCGGACGCCGCCCCCCCCCCGGGCGGGATCCCATCTCACCGATTGCCGGAGTCGTCGAGTTCGCTGCTGCGGTCCGAGCGTCCAGGCCGCAGGCAGTAATATCCCGTGTGCTCGTGCCCTGCACCGCACCCTTCGGTCGCAAACATCACCAAGGCACCACAATGACCCCGATTCAACTTTTTTTTCAGCTGCTTCCCTTAAAGAAAAAAACTACGCAGCCCCCTTTCCGGGCACATTCCCTTGAAGGGATTTATTGTCCGGATGGTATCGAACGCACAATCGCATTGCATTCAGACGATACGCCAATGGTAAAGTGTACTTGCGTAACCCAGGCAGCTAAGTGTTGGGCATTGATGGCCACAAGTACGGCACAAGGGCACCCTGTTCAATTACAATTAATGTGCAATTAAGTACAATAAACCGCAATTAAGTACAATTATAATTGGCACAATCCACACTCGTTCCGCCAGTAATTACCGACGGGCACGACGCCCTTGTCCGATGCAGCACTTGATCAGCCGCGCCCACCAACACAGTGCAGCGAGCCCTGTCGCAGCCTCCTGCGGCTCTGGCGTCACGCCGCGCTTTGGTCACGCTGCTGGTGTCCCGTTGAGGGCCAACATCCCGACGATGGACGGCGGATTGCCGGCATTACGCGGCATCCTTCCCTGCGAGCTGAGAATGCGCTTGTGCCCCGGGCACCATTGTGCATTGGGAATTCGGCACGGCGGCGGTGGGCGGTGCGCGAGGAGAGCGGTGCCGACGCAGCGCTGGTGGTCGCCTCATGCCATGTACGTGGTCGTTGCCGGGCGCGCTCGCTCTTATGCGCTGTGCAGAGGATTTTTGTTGAAGAGGTGTCGACGCACCTGATCACCTTATTTCCGGCGTCGACTGCGCTTGCTGGGGAATGAGGCAACGGTGATGGCGCCATTTTGGAGAAGTAACCTTGAAAGTGGTGCGCTCGTTGTTGCGTGGGCGCTGACCAGTGGCCTGATGGTGCAGACGCATTCAACGGGTGCACGATCATGTGCAGAATTCAGAAGCATTACGCTCACTGATGATGCAATCCCATACTCCAATCTCACTCAAAAATCAGTCGATCTCCCATCTCATTCAGGACAACGCAGAGAATGAGGTCCCTCCGCAAGCACATTTGTGCTTTGTTTCCAATCCATGTTTGTGCGTTTTTGTCAGAACTGAGCACAGTTTTTTTGTATACAATACATATCGCGTGTGTTCAATGTTTTGCGCTTTTGTTCCTGTTGCTCGCAGTAAGACACGGAACCAGAGCTGTACCGAAATTGATAGAGCTGTTGTCTCTGCATATGTCCGTTCTCAACAGTACCACTTTCCATGGCTTCCTGCGGTGTCTGGTTGCCCCAATCGAGTCGTTGGGAATTAAACTGCACACGGCATGCTCCTATGCATGACACAGCAGCACTTGTGCAGCTTTTCGGATGCCTTGTAGACATGTCTACCACACACGCGGTAGGCCTCATTGCCCCTGAGGCTGGGCTTGATGCAGTTGTTGGCCAAAACTTACTTTGCCTTTTGGACCTCTGAGTTCAATTCACGGTGTCCAGGTTGTCGCCCTCACCCAGAACCCCGTTCCTATCCCGTCCACTGCTGCAACGCTGTAGAAATAAGCGGTTGAGAGGGAGGGGGATGGTACAGGCACAGAGTCGCTTTGAGTACATGACCATCAAAGAACTTAAGGAAATACTGCGAAAATTCCAGAAGCCCACCAGCGGAAACAAAAAGGCACTCTTGTTGCGTATGGATGAGCTGTGGGTCAACTTGGATGAAAAAGATCGGCAGCTGTTGGACCAGCCTGACAGCCCGCAGTACTATGCATTGGAGGCTGGAAAGGATGGGACTGAGGATGGGGAGGACTTGGAAGGGCGCCGAAGTCGGGTGGCGTTGATTCAGCAGCTCAGCATGCTGAATGTGGCGGAGCTCAAGAAGGAGTTGAGGGACAGGGGTGCGGCAGTGGGTGGCCGAAAGATGGAGTTGGTGAGTCGCCTGGCAACGATAGTGCAGGAGGGCCAGTCAGAGGGGCAGGACAGGCAGCTGGGCTTGGGGCGGGCGGCGGAGCCTGAGGCTGTGCTCAGCAGGTGGTCAGTGGATGCACTCCAAGAATTCCTGAGGTCAAGGTGAGAATTTGTGAAGGTCTCAGACTCCATTCTGTTCATTTTGTCACAAGAGGGAAAAAACCTGCAGTTGTCCACATGAGGCGATGCTATCAAGGTACGCTGAAGCAATGCGTCCAGTACCAACTGCTTCTGGTGCATTAGGGCACAGGAAGTGTACCTTGACAAAGAGGATTGGCTGGCTGCATACATGGCAATGTGCGCTGTTGGAAACTCTGGGTGATATCCCTTGGATTGTGTTGCACAAAGACTGTTGCCTAACGCCCATATTGGATGCAAGGATTGCCAAAGGCTGGCTCAGCTCCGAGCTCAAAGGATTGCGGAGCTCCTGCAGGCTTTGTAGTTTGCACCAACAGCTTCAACCCCCAGTTGAAAACCTGCGATGTCAGGGCAAGGGTCGACTGATAACCTCATCTTGCTGAATGCTACTGCCCAACAGGAATCACAAAAGAGGTGTACTTTGTTGTGGAGTTGGTGCATCGCCATCAATGACTAGTACCCTGCCTATTTTGAATACAGAGGTGCCACATTCAGTGGAAGCTACTCTGAGCTGCTGGAGAAAGCGCGGAGCTTGTTGCAAATGGAGACCAGGCGGTCAGATGCCACATGGGAAGATGTTGAGACCCTGCTCCAGAAGCAGTTTGAGGCACATCAACCCAACAAGCTGACAACTGAAGAGCTCAGACAGGCAGGAGTAAAATGGAGTTGTGCTGCTGGACCATCATTTTTGAGAAGTGAAATCCTTGTGTTTTGACTGCCCATGTGTGAAAAATGCTGCCATAGTTGGAATGCTTCAAGCTTGAAGTTTGTTCACATGGTGACCACAAGCATCAGCTGGAGTCCACTCGATGCACTGTATTGCTTGTTTTCCTTGTACCTTGTCTCATCAGTTGGTTGTCTACTCTAGCCCCACTTTGCACCTGGGGATGTCCATTTTTTGGTTTCTTCTCTCTGCATTGCTTTCCATAAAGATTATACGCATCTTAACGCATCTTGAGTTGGGAACACTTGCAGGACATAACTGCACGTTGATCTGCCATGAATGAGACAAAAAGACAAACATACTGTCATTGCCAACCTTGTTGCAGTGCTGTGGGAGTACTAGAGCACTGGCACAGGCAGTGTGCCGATCACTGCAAGGTATTCTGTTGTCAAGGACTCTGAGCTAGTGCGCTGAATTCTGCGTTGACCCGGGGGAGATGTACCCTGACCAGGGCAATCTCACTTGGGGATCCGAGATGATCCTAAATAGTGCATCCTACAGCAACTGAACCTTGATAACTGTGGATTTTCCAGAACGGCCTGTCTGTGCTGTTGTCCAGCGTGTTCAAGACTATGGTTTGGGCTTGGAAGCCAGCAGCCGGAATAGACAGGATATGCTGTCAGCTCTGGAGGCTGCCATAGCACAGGAGGCAGAGGAGGCGAGCAACGCGAGGTTGATGGCTGATGGCCAAGTGGGCACCCTTATCATGGAGTGGTTCCAATGCGAAAAGGATGCCCTCAAGGAGGGTACCATGTTGGCTAAGATAGAAGACATGCAGGTGGGCAGTTATGTCCCCTGTGTGTGCTTCTCTGGGCTCACAGTTTGGTTCAAGCTTTCAAGATTCCAATTGTGTGACAAAACAATGCTCAAATATCACAGCGTCTCCTGTACTGTATAAAGCGGTACACCCAGCACATACTCCAAAACATGTTTGACGCTGTGCCGGCACCTGTTGGTTTGATGTTGCTTGTGCTCTTTTGTATGTGCGACTGTAGACTGACTCAGAATCGCATGCAGTGAAACAGGTGCGAAATGCCAAGCATGATGAACGCTAAACCTTTTGTCTAACTTGGAATTGCAGAATTCGACACAGACGTCATTGCTGCACTGTTGAGTTGGTTGTGCTGCTGTGTGAATCATTTTGTGCACAAATTGGCAGGCTGCAGAGCTGATATTTGAGCTGGACAGTCGCGGCCTAAGTACAAGAGGCAGTGAAGCTGTTCTTCGAAAGCAGTTGGAGGTGTTTCTGATGGAAGATTTGCAAATTTCCAATAAGGCTATCTTGGCACTCGCCATGAACCTGTCAGAAAATGTAAGGATGCTTACATTTCAGCAGTTGAGACATTGAGAATCAGCACAACAAACAAATTTTGCATGTATTGCATTGTTGCAGCAGAGCAAAAGAGAAAGGGACCCAGAAGTTGTTGCGTGATCACCAAGAGCAACACACAAGTGCTGGGACATGTGCGCATTCCTTCAATGTCACAACAACAGAATCCCATTTTCCAGTGTCCCTCACAGTGCAACGGCCACGGCCTGGACCAGGGATATTGTTTTTGCAGAGTATTGTAGAATTATGGGCTTGTCAGCTGATGTGCTTGTTGCCCAAATGACTCCATTGATATGCTGTGTTTCTTCCTCTGATGGAAGTTGCCCTGCTTAACGCAACTGCCAAATCCGGAATTTGTCACCCTCCCCAGGGTGCAACCACTTTGATGTGGCACTTGTGCTGCTCTGATGAGGTTTTTTGCTTGGGTGCCTAAACAACACTCAAAGACTCGCTCATGTCGAACATATACCTGTATGCAGCTTGGTTGGATCGCTGTAGTTGCTATGGTAACATGTGATCATTCAATGCAGGCTTGAAAGCAGTCTGAGTTGTTTATCTATGGTTGACAGTATGCCCCGTTTAGGCACTCTCGCAGCTGCTGTGGGAAACGATTGAATCGATGTCAGTGCTTGACTTTGGTCCATCAATTAAAAACATGTGCATCACTATGTGCACGATTTTGCCAGCCCTTATTTTCCTAAACGTGTTGGCTGTCGTCACAAGGTGATCTGGTGTTAGGCGACTAACTGCAACAAAAAAGCAGGGCACTGGGGTTGATGTGGTTGCCTCTGGCAATTTGGGCGGGCTGAACAGTCAACCTCTTTCAGAGGTGGTGGGTGCAAGTTCTGCCAGGATTGGTTTTTGATCACGTTCTGCCAGGAAAGCACAAGGGCAATGCATGTAAAGAGAGATTTCAGTTTAGCACCATCATTTGGATGCCCATTGGTGCTGATTACGTCAAAGCAGCACTGCCAAGCAGTGCTCCTGGCCAGTCAGTCACCTTTATAACTGGTTGTGGATTTCCAGGTGTTGGCTCTTGATCACAGTAAAATCCAGGCAGAGCTGGAGATAAGGGGCTTCTCCTTGTTAGGAAACGAAGCTGCCCAGAGGGACCTGCTTGTGTGCCAGCTTGCTGAAGAAATAAAGTTGCACCTTGGGCCGGTGTGGAAGATGGAAGATGTGAAGGACCTACCGGAGACCTACGAGGTCCCACAACTGCAGCAGGAGACAGTACAGAGCAGGGCTGCTGAACCAAAGGTCAGTTGGTGCACTCTGATGCTTTGTGCTGTTCAGCACCTTTGGGATCTTCAACGTTGGTGAGGTATCTCTGGTGCGCAGATATGTTGCTTTGCATCTGCGCTTGAGACCAGTTGCACTGGGGTTGCTGCATGCATATTGCTTGCGCACATGCAGGTGCAGTGTTACTTCTATCCTGTGGTCAAGGCAGGCTGAACTTGTCCTTGTTTGCCATGTCATTGCCAGCACCCCTTGGTGTGCTGTGTAAGTTGTGGGCATGCAATTGGTGCAATGCTACGTCTCCATGGACAGTAACGCTGTGCACATCGTCTGCTGTTGTGCAAATGTGACGAAATGCATTCCTTTCACCTGTTGTGTACCATGCCGATGAGTGCACTGACATGCTTTACTTTCTTGCCAGGACCCATTGATCACTGTTGGTATTCTTTTCGGTGGCCCAGGCCCTGGTGCCCAAGCCTCTCTCGAAAGTGCATGGACACTGATGGGGCACCTGCAGGCATCCTTCATTGGTGATGAGCAGCCCGAAAAGTCCGACGAGCAGGACGAACAGGCAGAAGAAGGGTCAGGAAGCAAGGCTGGAATCAAGGTGGTGCCTTACTTTGTTGATGAGGATGGCAAGTTTCATAGGCTATCCACTGCAGAGCTCTACGCATGCACCTTATGTGGGACTGGGGTGTCTGGTCATGGGCTAGGTCAGCAACTTCAAAGCTGGGAGGTAACGTTGACCATTATTCTTTGCTTATAGACCACACCTGGGTTGTTCGTTTCCTTGCTGTCTCATTCAATTGTGGACAACACATGTGAATTCGAAGGAGGCCTCCTTGAAAAGGGAGAGCGGGGGTGTAGATAGCACCCATATCCACATGCATGTGCTCATTCAGTGGTCAGATGTGGTCTCAATGAAACACAGCTCGAGCAGAAGATGTAAACATGCAGTAACAATCGTAGGCAAAGAAACTGGTAACAGGTATTAAACAGTGGATTTAGGTTATACGAAGGAAGACAGTGACCACAGAATGCTCAAGGACCGTACCGTCCACAGTATCAGCCTTCTCTGGAGCTGCTGGACGACATCCAGACATCTTTGCTGTCTGCTCATTGAAGCACATTTGCAGAATACTCGTGTTGTCATGGAAAGGCACCTTGGTTGTGATAGCACTTCGCAAACGGTGATTTTGCATTGTGAACATGACTGCATCGCTGTCCTGTCAAGTACTTGCGTGAGTCTCTTAAACCTTTATCAAATATGGGACCAAACTAAGCAAATTGCAGCAGGGGGTTGGGACATTGGAGAAGACTGCATGAATTTGGAGCTCGGGCAGCTCAGCTTGATGCCAGGATGGTAGACATTAATTGTACGCAACTTGCATGCACTAGCATCGATGCTGTATCTACCATTGCTTCCCAGGTATATTATCCTTGATAGTGGCCTGGATTGAATGGCGCAATGTGACTGCCTGAATGCCATCTGTGGTCTTCCTTCAGGAATTCGTCAGTGATGTCAGGAAGGGCGTAGATGTGATTTTCCCTGTTATTCCTGGGGAGTATGGTGAGCTAGGGGAGCTTCGAAATATGCTGAAGGCATCCGGGGTGTCATTCATAGGCACACATTCAGCCCATGCACATACAGCAGCCAACAAGTACAGGTGAGACACCATACCACACACATATTGCTGCTAAATGCTTTTAGCAACAACATTATTAGCAAGTCCTTTGGAGCCTTGCTGGGGTCCTCATGGGAACAGTTTGAATTCCCGTGCAGAGTTGTTGCCGCTTGCTTAACATTTCGAACCTTGGATTTCGAGACAATGTGGTAACCATGTATGAGAGCGAGCTACTGCTCACCCCAGCCAGAAGACTGAGTGGCACTGTTCAACATCGTGCTGAACTGGTATCTGACTTTCTGAATATGGTACAGTACCGGGACTGAATGTGTGGTCTGGCTACAATTGAGGGTTTTGATTGGTGTCTGCAGGATGAATAAACGGCTGCAACAGGCAGGCTTCCCTGTGTGGCCTGTGTACAAGCTTGACAAAGAGGACAACCAAGCAGAACATCGAGTGGGCTGGTGGCAAGGGATTCAAAGATGGTGCCAGTACCTTCAACGGCCCCCAAAAGAGTCTCAGTTTGTTGTTGGGCCAGCAGTTGCGGACAGCAGGGAGTGCAGCACTGTTGAAATGGGACTGTCTGAAGCTGTAAAGAAGGCCAGGGCGCTGCTGACTGAGGGGCAAACTGATTGTGCTGTGATAGAGCCAGCCATGGATTGGAGCAATTGCAGGCAGTTTTCGGTGGCTGTCTTGGACACAAAGGGTGAGGGAACACTTGCTGTGTGGGATGCCATTGAACCATTCAGCATTTGCTGGCAATTTGCAGCAAACACAGTGTGTATTGGCCTGCGATGTGAATGGAAGCTCGCAGGCTTGTGTGCTCTGCTAGAAGCTTGAGCAAAGCACTGGAGGCGCTACTATTTATCACTGCATGTCTCTCCTTTGCAGCAAATGGATAAGCATGTGAATGATTGTTGTGTCAGAAGTCTGTGTTGCTCCCATTGATGCCCCTCAACCATTATCCACACTTGCGAGTTCTTGTCTGTTTGAGATTGGCCTTGAATCGTGGGCGTTCCATTTCTGTACATGCAAGATAGTTGGACCTATTGCACTTCCTCCTACCGAACATCAGTCCATCGATGAAGATTTGCTGCAGCCCTTGACAAGTCAGGTGAGAAAGATTCTGTGGCCTTGTGTTTGGTCACCATGAGGGTAGCAATACCCACCACAGGCCTTGGCTGCTGATACACAGCTGTTATCCAACAGTCCTAGAATTCTGTCAGATTTACTCAACAACTACACTGGAACTGGCGATTTGCAGGCTCATGTACATTGTTTGCTCCTTACATGAGCAATGTGGAAGATATATGCTTGAGGACATTGATGGGTTTGCCCAGTTTTAGCCAATGGTCCAAGTCAATATGCTCCAAGGCTATGTGTTGCTTCGTGTCTGTGCATTTACCCTTGACATCATATTGTGCAGCATCGGCATCATTTTCTTGCATTGTTAGGTCCAGATGATTTGCTGCACAATGAAGGTGCGACCCTCCTGTTTTGAGGAAAATGCAGTTGTCTTTGGTTGCTGAAGGAAGATCTGCAACCCAACCCTCATTGTCGTTGTTTTGTTGCACACCTTTAAGATTCGTCACTGCACACCACCAAAGCTGGACGGAAGCACGGTCATGTCCATCAGGAAAGGGGCAGCAAAGGCTTTCAAGGAGTTAGGACTGAGAGATTATGCCCTGTTCCATGGGTACATCCTGATGCACGAAGAACCGGAGGACCCAGATAAGCCTGTTGAATTGCCGACCCCCAGACCCATCCCAAAGGAGCCATTTGGGTTGTCACCAGAAGATCGATTCGCACCTGGTAGGACATCTTCTGTTTTATTGCAGCAGACTACTGGTGCATCGTCCCCTTATGTGAGAATGAGACCTAAATCTGTTTTGGTTCCAATTGTGCGTGTTGCCTGCGACTTGCATTCCCAAGCACGCAATAGGGCACAGACTTATCCAGGCACCAGCCATTCTGGGTGACGAAAAGCTACTTGCTTGGTAGGCTTACGAGATCCCAGTGCATTCTGCGCCAAGCCAAAATGTGGCCATAGGGTCAGCCTTCTTTCTACAGAGTATCCTTATGTAAGTGCTCTTGCATTAAACAATTGTTCCACTGTGAAAGAAGGGACTGTACCTGCTGGCACCAGAACTGGTTTGCCTGTTATTTGTGGCCATGAGTTTTCCATTAGCACCATTTGTGTTGTGTGCCCCAGATGAGGAAGCAGAGATTGCGGGGATAGCCGCGGAAGCGAGGGAAGAGCAAGAAGCATTCAGGCGCTCACTTGTGGAGGAGGGTGATGTTGAGTGGGAGGGAAAGGCGCTCTTCCCCATGAATGAAGAGATAGTTGAGGCATACGAGAAGAGATGGCATGAGGTGCTTGTGGAAGAGGCTGGCACTGATAAAGATGGAGAGCCTGTTTTCGTGGGATATGGTGTGAATGGGGCTGAGGCTATTGATGGCGGGGATGACGAGACTGACCATTCTTCTGGGTTCTTGCCCACTGTGGATCTGGATCGCGTCGACCCTTCGTTCGTGTGCGATCAAGATGGTTTTACAATCCTGTTCTCCAGTGTGTCTACCACTGGTGGGCTTGAACCATGCGGGCAGCTGTTTCAACAGGTGAACATCAACTCATGTGTTGTATTGTGAGATTATGAATCACTTGGAACTCAGGTTCCAGCACTCGAAATGCTCGTGGTAGTACAGGGCACCAGCTCCTCAGCGTTTGCAGCAAAGTGATAGAAGTGCTTGGATACCTTTCTGCAGCAAATTTTGACTGTAGCTGTTCGTTCTGTGGTCAATGGACATCGCCATGCTCGTTTGTTGACTGAGGCTTACCACAGAGCACAAGGCTTGTGGCAGCTGACATTATTGTCTGGATGGCACTGCAGGCTGCTCGTGTCGGCATACCTCATTCTTCACTGCTAAGACACCTGCTGAATCTCTGGTTGACTCGGGAGGGCAGACCAGAAATACCCACCTTGGAGGCAGAACCTTTCAATCTCAATCCCCTCCTCCCACATATGTATCCTGTTCCCGACCTGGATGAAGTGGATGAAGAGGGAATGACACTTCGAGAGGCATACGAAACTCTTCCATACGAGGTTGCTGATGGTTGGCTGCTGTCCTTTCTACCCTTGATTTGGGCATTTTGCCTTGCCGTTTGCGCGTTGGTTGTCGCTTGAATCGCTGCTGACTTTCAATGTTTCACATTCTTTTCTGAAAGTTCTCTCATCGGTTGGAATTTGCTGTGCTCTAAGCATCGGGCATGGGATATGTTTGGTGCGATGGCAGATTCACATGAAGGGCTCTGTTCCAAGTGCTGAGACGACCCATGCTTTGATACCACATTCATGTGTGCCAAAAAAAGAAGGGACGCTGCATTTCATACAATAGACACGTTGGGGCTTGTTCTCAAACACAAGTACTGGCCCCCGCCTCTTGTTTTGCAACCATTCCCTGAGGTGGCTCTTGCAGTTCAGGAGTGATTCAGCCTCATGGATACAGGGCTAACCTTGGCTGTCCCTGTATTGCAGTTGAAGACTCGGGGTGTTCAACAACTGCTCTCGCAAGGTGGCGACTTTGCAGACGAAGCATCTGTATCAGGTCTGTCAGGTGCAAGTGGCAGTCTGTTCTGAAAGAATTGAGTGCCCATCTGATTTATCTTCAACTGCACATTCAGGCACCATGAAAATGCACAGCACAATGATGCGAGGGCTGCCTAAGAGTGGGACACTCCCATCCTTGCATCGATTGAGTCACTTGCAAGCAGAGTGTGTCCAACATTGCTAATATCCTTGCCATGCATGAGTTGGTGTTCAGTGGGGTCATCTCCAAATCATGCCAGTACTGCCCCCTCCAATGTGAAAAAAGGCTCTGGTCTCCTTTAACGGGTGGTGTACCAGGTATCCTAAATTCAAAGTAAAGAACTTGCCAAGAAACTCAGATTGTATGTGGCTGCGAAGGATATCTCTGTCTCTATACTGCGCATGCAGCTGTGGATTGCTGACTGACTCCGATGCATATGTTCTGGCCACTGTGTCCTGAAGCATACAGTGGAGGAATGTGGCTGTACAAACAACTGGGGAAACCCTGCCGTCAGTTATGTGCTGCTATGGAACAAAATTTGGAGTAATGCCACAATCATGCAGCACAGGTGCATTTCTGCACTGCAGGTGCTGCAGAGCCCGCTGAGCAGCCTTTGCAGGTGTGGGTCCTGTTTGGCGGCGACACCACTGGCAGACAGGTGTCCTTGAGGAGTGGGGTAAACGCTTGGCTAAAGTTGCGTCAGTTTCCCGATGTCATGGTGTTCCCCTTCCTGCTCGTTCCGGTGAGTGCCATGCTGTTCAGGATCAAAATGTCGGGAATGGAGGGCAAGAGGCTTAAATTCTGGCAGCCATTTCTGTTCGTGGGGTTGATGCAGCAGGATTGTGCCGCAATGGTGTCATGACAAAAGACAGGACGTCAACTGATCATGTGGGAATTGTCACAATTAGTGCTAGTATTGGCCCAATGCTGTTGGACTGAAGCTGGCTCACAACATTTGCAGCAACACATTCGCATAGACTCTCCTCCAAGGCTGATTGCCAAGTGTGTTGCTTTATTGCCGATGTGTAGTCATAGCACACTATTTGGGATACTGTGTGTTCACCCTACTTAAATAGTTTGAGAAAGGCAAAGGTCAGTCACAGTCATTGTGCAAACGACCAGGACTTTGCGTTGCTGCGTGACCCGGAACGGTTGAAGGCACTCAGGGCTGAGCAAAAGAGGTTTCTGGACATGAATGTCCCTGAAGACCAGCTGCCCAAAGAGTTGCAGTCATCGTACATCAGGTATGATGTGTTCAAGTTTCTGACAAATACATTTTGTCCAGAATTCCCTCCATCCCTTTGTCCCTGCTGCTGATGCACGAATTCACAGCACGGTCTTGTCACCATTCATCCTATTGCAGCCTCAGGCATCGATTGTGCCCAATTGTGCCCCCCTCTCTTGTTTTGCTAGAGTTATCTTCTTTGCCTCTGGTGCATGTCATGCAGTTGCGCAAACAGGTAGCATAAGGGTGGTGAAAGTATGAGCATGGCAATCTCGCAGTGATAGTGGCATTGCAGTTGCCCATATTGAAGCTGGGGTGTTTACACGTCGGTCTCCTGCTGGCATTGAAGGAACCCAGATCTTGAAGATGGCGAACTCGATTTCCGAGGCATTTGGTGCTTGCCGTATCATGCAGCCCTGCAAGATACAGTGGAGGAGATGATTGCAACGGCTGAGTACACCCAGAAAATGGAAACCACATCTGAGCACAGCCGCCATCCTTACATGGAGACGGGCCGGGGGGTGCAGATGCAGACACAACTTGAACTGTACTCTGCTGGTTTTGAAGGGGTTGGTGGCCTGTGGGGTGGGGATCCAAATGACTTTGGAGCCCCTCCAAGGTTCATGTTCCTGGAGGACTTTGCCAGCGAGGCAAAACAAGTTGGGGCTGTGGTTCACTTGTCCATCCATGGCGGCATTGGGAGCGATGGCACTCTTCAACAATACCTGGATGAAAGGGACGTCATGTACACAGGTGTGTTTTCCAACTCTGGGCAGTGGCTTCTGGAACAGTGTGGTTTGATAGGGGTAGGCATTGGTGTGCAGTGCTCGAATCGATATGCTGAGCTGCTCTCAAAATATGGGCGAGTTTGGTGGAGGGCAGGTGAAGTAGCAATCGTTTTCATGCCCATGGCAATGCTGCAAAGACCAAAGAATGGGCTGGTTCGATGGCATGGCGGCTCTGTTGTTGTGCACTTGTCTGCTTGCAGGGTGAAGAGATGTCAGGTGCCAACACTTGCTGAGATATCGTCTGCGAGTGCTCACTTGGTGCCTGCTGTGGATGGTTGAGAGTGCAGTGGCACTATGATGCTGGCATCCCTCGCAGTTCTGGCGGTATGCTTCCAATAGACCAACACAATGTTGCATTCAGATAACACCATTGCCATGTTTTCTCTACAGGCCCCAGCAGTACGGCATGTGGCCTGTGCTCAGACAGGGCAGAGGCCACCTCAGCACTTCTTGAGCTTGAGGATGATGGGGTTACAGTCCTGCCCAACGAGGTGGTGCTCACAGCCGATCTTGTGAATTTGATTGAGGATGATGCAGCTGTGGAGGAGTTCCTTCGCAAGCTGTTGAAGGGTGTGGGGGAGCCTGAAGCTCTGTGCATAAAGCCACAGCCCAGTGAAATGGGTGCGGGGGTGGCCAAACTGGAATGTGCACATGACCTCAAGATGTTCGCAAAGGTAGAACAGATTGGAAGTCCATTGTCATTGGGTTCACCTCTTCGTGGGGAATAGCAACCTTGTACCTTTCAAACATTGCCACGATGGTGCACCCGCAACAGCACATGCTGCAATTTTGCCAAGCTAGATTCGCACCTGCTGATTCTGTTATTGCAGAAAGGAGTCTGGAGGGCTTGAGGCGCTAGTAAGGGAGGCTGATGACAAGATTGTCATGGTGCGCCAGGCCTTGAGGGATCGTGACTATGTTTTCACTGGTCAGAGGCTGTCAAGAGGTCACCCAACTGTGGTCCTACCTGACCCATTGCCCAGCAAGTTTGTTGTGGAGCCGTTCATTTCAGGTGAATGAAGTCTGCTGTGCATGGTTGGTTGCTTGGCCAACATGGCTTTCGTTAATCTCACCACCACATTGTTCTGTTTGTTGTTTCCTGAGAACAATTATGCTCATGAGTAGGCATCCAGATACCTGCAGTTCATGGTGTGGTGGCCGCCAGTTGGCAATGCCCCTGGAAACCACAGGGCAACGTTGGATTTTGCAAGGGAGGCAGCTGCCACTGGGTGGCTAACGTGTGTTGCACAAGCACCCTGGCTTGGTTTGTCACAGGGGATGTGCACAAGACAATGGTCATTTCTCAATTGTGTACCTTGCTGACTGCACTGCAACAAGGAAGACATTGGCGACAATTTGGGAACTTTGGAATTGTGACAGGGCTGCATTGATGCTCATCAACAGCATTTGTCAAAGAATGATAAACCACTGCCCTTTGATAGTTTGGACAGGCAGGCAGCACAGCTCAAACACCTGTGTCTGTTTTCAGTGTGACATTGGCAAGGCTGGAACTGCGCTGCCAACCCATGCCAGTGCTTCAGGTCTTGCAGACATGATGGAAAACTAAACACACACCGGCTGCAATGGTCAGTGAGGCTGGGGATGGTTCTGTGTCCTGGTGTGCAGCTGAGGATTCCAGCCCTTGGATCGAAGTGGTGTTTGGGCTGCTGGGAGATCTTGGGCAGATGCGGGCCTTCACACCTTCGATGATCCTTCACAAGGACTGGGTTCGACTATCGTTGGAGCACAGGTTCCTGAAGGGGCACGTCCCGAGCGTCACCCCCCCTCCCGCCGACCTCGTTCGCCCAGAGGTGGTCAAGGCTGCCAGGCTGAGGATGGAGTCTGTTGCAGACCGTTTTGGCCTCAAGGGCGTCGCCTGCATCAGCGCGTTCATGCATACAGAGACGGGCGAAGTCATCGTGGAGGATGTCAATCCAGCTCCAAATTTGTCAGCACATTCAGTCCTTGTCCAGCAGGTGGGTACACCACAGAAACGTTGAGCACTATTCGCGGTGCAGACGCAATTTGTCACAGCATTCAGCTCTGTTTGGCAAGCTCCATCTGGGTGCTATCCGACAACGCATTTTGATACAGCACAGCACGTAGTGAAAATCAGTGCTGTTTCGTTTGCGGCACTTTTGACAGTGTGTATGGTGTTGCACAGAGACCCAAAGTCTAAAACCTTCCAATGCGACCGGCTTGTTGTGACTGGGGTTGAGGTGTCGAGGGGGAGTTGGGGTTGGGACGGGGGGAGGGGGGAAGGGAACCTCATTTCCGCCGAGCCGGGCTCCTTGTCCTGCCCGGATCCACACACACACTGGACCAATACATTACAAAGACAGCAGTGTTTGTCCCAAAACAACCCGAGGTACCCACAACTTGTATGCCCAGTCGCTTCGCTAGTAGTTAAGCCAGTCCCATACAAGACTCATCCTTGAGTCAGTCCCACCACTCCTCGTTCCCTCGTACTTAACTCCTACACTTGCCCCAACACAATCGAACATCACCCTAATAGGGGGGGCCGGGCGGGAAGCGAAACAAGATGGAGTGGGGACCGAGAGTGAGCCTAAATAGCCTCCCCCGCTCGCGCCCGCCAAAGCCCGTCACTCCCAAGGGCGCCAAAATCCCCTGGCCCTCCTTGAACGCGACGAACTGGCCACTGACCCAAGGTACAGGGGGACAGAAACCCCCGGGGGCCGCCAAAACAACAATACTTAAGCAGCACTGGTCCAACGGGAACCAGCGCGACTGCCCCTCGTCGCCCTGGGCGGAAACCCATTAACAGGATAGTTAATCCCATTTGTGCGCTTGGGGATCAAAACCATTGTATGTACTGCCAGAATGTCTCCCAGGCACAGAAACCTCGTTTCATCTTGTCTGAATATCTCCTTTGTGTAAATCTTTTGAAGAGCATCAATGCAATGGGACAATGCGAGTCTATATGGGCACCCTTGAGGCGTTGCAGGAACATTAGCGAACATCGGCATTTGTTCCTGGATTGCCTCCGCCCTTCCCACTCAGCACACCTGCCCACTTAACAATTTGCAGACAGCTAGCTTGCACACCACATCACTTGGATGCTGCGGACAGCCATTCCAGAAATTTTGCGCATCCCTGAGACAGACCCAGCACGATTGCACGAATCACTGGTGACGAATGCTATTCCTCGGCAGCTTTCCGTGCATTGGCACTGGTTCATCTGAAGGGTGCGAAGGGTGTCTTCACAAGTGCAATGACGCGTATTCGTGCCATCGGTGCTTGATATGGCATTGGTGATTGGCATGTGCTTGTTGCTTCCTCCCCCACACACACACACACACACACAGCAGTGTACCCGGCTGGGTGCTTGTACTGGCCCAAATTGCCATAAGTACCTAGTGCGCAGTTCCCCTTACGGAATTGGTTCCGCCACTGCATTGCTGATACGCTTTGACTCGCAATTTTCGGAAAGTGGACGATTGTTGATTTTGCCTACGACGAGATGCGCCCATGCAAGATGCCACGCTGGCCGAGTCGGAGTTGTGCGGGAAAGGTGGGTGTTGCCAGGAAGCCCAAGGCGCCGAATCACGACATTTGTGTTGCAGGCCTTGCTTGAGGACGACCCCGTCCTTCCCGAGGAATTATTCCGCCAGGTGGTTCAACTGGCATACACCCCGTCGCGATACCTGGCCGGCGACAACCCGGGCATGGATGGAGCCGACTGGGAGGACTACACGTATGAGAGCCTTCGGCCTGAGGTCGCGCCGGGCGAGTGGGACATACCTCAGGGGGGTGGCTGGGGGCTCCCTGACACTGCTGACGACGAGTGGGCGGGAGACATGAGTGATGACGACCGCGTGACTTCGACGAGCGGCATGAACCAGAGAGCGGGGCCGTCGGGCTCGGGGCAGGCATGACGGATTTTGTAGGGAGACGTACGGCCATTGAGTGTATCAATTCATTCGTAATTTCTTAAGTTATGCAGAAAGACGTGCCACGCAATGAAGTGCTGCGCGAATGCGCATGGCTCAAGAATGTGCGGCGCAAAATGTGGCTTTTGGAGCTGAACTCAGTGGCCTGGGAGGGTGTGTTTTGTGCACATGCAGCACGTCCACACACACATCTGCGTGTGTGGCGAATTGTGAACAAATGTGCACTTGCTCTGCATCCAGAGTCAGGAGCAACGTGGTCATATCGGGCACCTTTAAGTAGTTTCTCAGCAACCAAAACAGTTTAAGTCCAAATCCAGTAAGCCAGGGCCTCATGATGGAAGGTCAAGGTTCCCCTTGTCAAACCGATTTATGGGTTGCAACAAATATTACCATCAATCAGCAAATACCATCAAGTTTGGCACAGGCGGTGCAGTACCAACCGCTTCTTCTGCATTGGGGCATAGGTATTGCTGCAGAATTTGTACCTTCATGAGAGATAATTGCTAGCTGTGTATTGGTAAATGTGCAGTGCGCATTCTGTAATGTAAACCTGCATTCCTTTGTACTACATCATATGCAATTACATTGTAGCATACTGCACGGGAATTAGGTAATAGTGCTTGTGCGGGACAATACAAGGAGTCCCACCTAATGCACATTGTGCATTGCTAGAGGCGCCAGCGCTGGGTGATATTCCCTTTTGTTCTGTACAAGGATTGCAGCCTATTGTTCTATATCCTGTGCCTATATCCTATGTAGATTAGGCCAGAACTCCTCCTTCCTGTGGGATCTTCTGCATCATAGTTGTGCCTGGAGCTATGCCAGCCTGTGGGTTATCGTAGCTTCCTGCATGGGAGCCAAAGTCTGGCACAACACTCAGGCACAGACGTAACTATGGTTTAGAAGAATCCACAGGCAGGAAGCTCTCCTTAACCTTCACAGTTTGCCCCATGAGCCACCGCTGCCATGTCTGTTTGAATTTAGGGGTGTATCGTATTCGTTTGTCGGCCCCAGCACCACTAATATGTTTGTCAGCAAATGGACTGGCGTTATCTCTAATGAAAGCAACCCTGAGAGAAGCGCGAAAAAGCGTACTACAGAATATTCCCCGCTTACAGAACATTTCGCAGTTTGGGATGTCTGTATTTTGTCGTTTGTTCTCTCTGGGTTGCCGTCCACAGCGATTATTGCAGCCCATAGATTGGCAAGTGCATAACGAGTCGGGTAGAGCTGCATGACAGCACTGTATTTAGATCCACCATTCAGTGATGTAATTGTGACGGGCACACACCCCTTGCCAACCTTCTCAGCAGTGCTGTGGGAGTGCCAGAGCATTGGCACAGACATTGCGCAGATATCTGCAAAATAGTCTGTGGCCAGGAACTGCCCCAGTGCGCGGCATTGTGCATTGACCAGTAGTGATGTGCCCCGGTCCACGCATCCTCAGTCGGGACAAGGGCTGTTCCTGACTGGGGCATCCTGCAAGGATCGAACCAGGATTACTGTGTTCTTTGGCTTGACAGGCCCGAACCACAGTCTCGCACATGCCCGACAACAGCACAGACAATACACAAGGCTATGGTTTGGTCCCACAAGCCAGCAGCCGAACTAGGCAGGATGGGGTGTCAGCTCTCGAGGCTGTCATAGCACGGGAGGCGAAGGTGGTGAGCTCTGCAAGGTTGGCGCCTGATGGCCAAGCGGGCACCCCTATCATCCAGCGGTTCCAACGCAAAATGGATGCACACAGGGACCGTGCTGGCCAATATAGCAGCGAAAGATGGTGGCCGTCCATGGGCAGCGTGTGCTGGTTGGCAAGGGACTGATCAAGACTCTGCGCATCTGAACGATACCACCCAGCTGTCTTTCCTTGATGATCAGCCAGCCTCCAAACAAACGATAGGATCCGTGCCAACCCTCTTAAATAGGTTCTTGAAGAAGCCGATTTGCGCCATTTGTTTGCACTGCCAAGCGGGCTCTACCACAGTCCTGCATGCCGATGGGTCTTGGATCCATACTCTCCTTTGTTTTGCTTCTAACTAACCAGCCCCAAACCTGCCTGGCAACCTAATCTCAACACAATTACTAGCAGCCTGTCAAACTCTACCTCTGTTGTCCTTTTGTCATCTCCGCCTCTTTGACGATCTTTTCTGAAGACGTGTTCTCCGCTTCTCAGGCTGTTCCCCTTCCTCTGCCGGGCCCTCATGTTCTGTCTGCGCGCCTTTCCTCCTTGTCCTCTTCTTTCTCCCCCTCCGGCCCCCTGTGCCACTGCCAGGCTCACCGTCCTCGCTCCGCCTCCTTCCGGACGCTTCCGGCTGGTCCGATTGTTCCTTGGCATCCACATCTTGGTCAAGGGGAGGATCAGAAACCTTGCGTCTTTTTCGCCGCGGCGGCGGCTGAGGAGCTTCGCCCTGTGGACGGCAGTGGAATGGCACACTTAACGTTCAACCATGCGTTGATTTCCAATGCACAGCATCCGGACTGCCAGCAACACCCAGTTTAGCCATAACATGGCCAATGCTCAGCAAGGTCAATGCAGCGTGCTGTGACCATATCCCCAGCCTGCACCGCCCCATGGTCCCCAAGGTACCTCTGTCAAGCTCAGCTCTGAATCCAAGGGGTCCTCCATATAGGAGACAGCCCGCTTTCGCCGTGTCCTCCTTCCTTGCTTCTCCCCACCATCCGGTGGGCTCTGCCAATCACACAAACGACCAAACAGCTCTGAGTCGTGCCTGCCACTGCAGAAAAACTGTGGGCACATCATGCGCGCTCCGCCTTAACCAGGGCGTGGCCGGAAAGCAGCAGGAGACCAAGAACAAGAACACACATTGATCCAGGGTGACTCGCTCTCTTGACCGAAACACCCGATTCTACAAGCTGCCGGCCAGCTCCCAACTTACAGTGCTTCAGGACGCAGCAAGCTGCAGGTATCGAAATTGGTGCATCAATTCTCTTTGGGCTGCAATTCGTGAAGATCATTACGATGCATTGTGCGCGTACATGTGGAGACATGTTGAGCAGCCGTATAGTTGCTCTGATCGACACTTCCTTGAGATAGGAAACACAGAAATGTCCATTGCCTGCAAACAGGGCCAGGCCATCACCTCCGCATCCTCCTTTGGTTCGTTGTCCTCAAGCACACCACTTGGAATTTCCTCCTCGGTGAGAAGGCCACGCCGCGGGCCATGGTTCCTCAAGTACTCCTCATCCATTTCTTCAAAGAGAACAATCTCTTCCTTGTTGCGGCTGATGAGCTCGTTGATTTCCCGAGGTGTGTGTACGTGGCCACCGATCACGTCAATACCTTGAGTCAGCACCTCCTTCAAGGCCTGGGAACAAAACAACCATGACTGTCAAGGAGCGCCAACGCCACAGCCAGTAACAATAATCAAATCGAAAACAACAATTCCCGTGCTCCAGCTAATTCTCGAGCACACCGGTGGCCGTCAATACTTGCGTTGGCTGTAGTCCAAGGAAACAATGGAAGCCTTGTGAGAACTGACAGCCGCCTTTGCACTTCCACAAACCGGACTATATGAAGGGGGGCGTTGCAGCACCGTGGGCAGCAGAATTGGCCCCCTGATTCTGCCAACATTAGATATTCCGCCTGCATCATTGTTTGGATCAAACGCAATTGCCAAATTCTCCTCGATGTTGCAACTGCCTTGCATGGCAATCCTGTGCTTGAAAGGCAATGGCAGGCACTCGTGGATCCAGGTGTTTGGCAGTTGCATGGCAGGTTGAAACTCATCATCATTGCGATGTGCACTCATTTCACGATAACAGTTCAGACTTTTCACATCACCTTGCAGTTCTTGTGAAGCAGCACAAGGCACATCTCTTCTGGTCAGGTGGGTGGTGGGTGCAAGGGTGAGGTGGGGTGGGGGGGTGATGGTGGTGGTGGGACATTTGGGCTCCATAGCTTCCATTTGTTGGGCAAAAGAAAGAAGAGCTTGACAATCTGCAGCACCCACTGCAGTACCTGTTGCTGGCAACATCACTGACATGTGCAGGGGTGATTCTCTAACATATCCCATTTTTGCAATGTACAGTTTCACACCTTCTGCCTGTCCATGTGCGTGCTTTGCTCATTGAACTTCCCAGCCGTGATGACCTTGGCATCAATGCTCCTCTTCTGGCTGGCCCTGTCCAGGATCACCTCCTCGATGGTGCCGGCACTGACAAGAATGAGAACCAGTACTTCACGTTTTTGGCCTATCCGATGTGCACGGTCTTCGGCTTGGAGGTCCATCTGTGGCAATACCAGATGCAGCTGTCAGTCCTTGACACCCATGTGTTGCATGCTATCTATGCAACGCCAAATTCTTCAAAATCTACAGTGTGGGAATAGTTCCATAACATCCTTCTTGTGAGGGGGTGCCTTTGTTAAACAGGTCATCCTTGCTGCTGACAAGGAAATCTACAGCATCTGCAGGAACAGGGTCAAAACACAGACATCCATCTCTTCCAAAGACAAAAGAGCAGGAAGATGGCACACTATCTGAAGACCCAGCATCCAAGGGATAGATATGACAACCTTGCCATTCAAAAACAGCACGTATGTGATCCGTATTCTTCCACAAACGTGCTGTTTTCCTTGAACTGTTGTGCTGGGTTATGTCGCATAACTCAGCACAAAAATCCAAGGAAAGACACCATTTCTTTGCAAGATGTGCTTGAACCCCAAAGGCCAAATTCCCCAACGCATGCAACTCATCGTTACTGAAGTCAAAGACCATACTATTTGCTCCAGTTTAGACATGCGAACTGCCAATGCTGGGATGGCCATTCAATATTGTGATACCCAAGAGAAGGAACCAGTTCCATCATATTGTGCTTGTCACTACTGGCCAATTGAAGCCAAATCCATATTATTCAGCAGTCATGTACATCGCACCAGATGGGCAAATAAGAGCCAGAAAAGGTGACTGGTTCGCAACCAGGAATGGACAACAACCCGCAAATCTTTTTTGCCACTTCATGGCTCTTCCATGGTAACACTCTCAATCAAACAGCTGCAATCGCAACACAAATCTCTACACTGCCAAAAACTGTGTGCTGCCAAGCACAGGGTCCCTCAGTTTGTGATGCAATACTCCTTTAAAGGAAAGAGCACAAGGTCCCTTAGTTTGTGATGTAAAACAATTCGGAATTAAAAAAGCACAAGGTCCCTAGATTGGTGATGTACTATTCCTGAACAAAAGAACACGAGCCCCTCAGTCCCTCAGTTTGGACCAGCTGCTTGCCTACCGCAGGGTTCCAGTCACTGTCGAACATGATCACTGTGTCTGCCGTTTGGAGGTTTAGCCCTAGTCCACCCGCACGAGTGGAGAGCACGAATACAAAGTAAGGGGAGTTCTCCTCGTTGAAGGCATCAAGCAGCTGCGTGCGGTCGTCAGTCTTTGTGGCACCATCAAGCCGCAAATACTTGTAGTTCCTGTACGTTAAAAACTCCTCAATGAGGTTCAGAGCCTTGACCATCTGAGAGAACAGGAGCACTCTGTGCCCTGTTGAAAGAACAGAAGCGAGCATTAGCACTGTCATGCATCATAACCTTCAAGGTGCAAAGGCAATGTTCTCAGCCAACAGAGGTCAACCTAACGAAAGGGATCAAAGGAGTTCTGTTGGCGTCGTGTCTTGCCATATAGCACGATTTTAGTCAAAAGTTTCTAACTCAAATGTTCAGGTGGCGTCCTGTGCTTGCCTTGAACTCTCCAGCGACATCAGCACAGGCACAAATACACAGCAGCCTGCTCAGGCAATCAGCCAAGTGCACCGCCTGCCCAATACGGTTGCCAGACAACAATGTGAGACTTCTTATGTCATTAGGGACATTCTTGGCCCAATGATGTCGAATCGGAAATGTGTGAACAGATGAGCACCGAGCAGCTTGACACTTCATCCTGTACTGTGCTGTAACACCCAGGGTCAGTACAATATGTTACGGTGGCCACACAGATGCATCGCTGCAGCATTCGTTGATGGCCTGTCAAGAAGATGAAGAGTGTGTAACCTGAAGTAAAAGCTCAAGGCCCCATTGCCCACTGCAATGGGGCAGTGGCCACCACGGCAACGACAGATACTCTGTAGAGTGATGACTTCCACCTGCCACAGCTACAGGAAGACAAGGTGCAAGCTGTGGCAGTGCACCGCCAGTATGCTCAAGCATGTAATAATGATATACAGATATGGATACGGTATTGGAACAGACAGACAAGACAGAGCAAATGCACGGAACAACAGTGCCCTCTGCTGCCTTGCAGTTCTTTGCCCCACTACTTTGTGTTGAATGGTATTCCCATTCCACACCCGCATCATCTTCACAATAAGGAAACTAATCTCACAATGGCCTTGTTCAGGAATAGGGTTCACATTGTATGGCATCCTTCCTTAATACACAATTCTCACCTGTCGCCTCAAGCTTTGGCAATATCCTGTCCAAAAGCTCCAGTTTCCCCGATGCACGGATGACCTCCTCTGGATCATTTGGTTGGTACATATGGTGTTCCAGAAAGAGGTATGGGTGGATGCATGCCTTCCTCAAGTGCATTGACGTGTTATTCAAATGCTGTATCTTTCCATCCCTCTTCACAGTGGCCTGCAATGTGAGAAAGCCGCGTATGCAGCGTCAGTGTGTCGCTTCTGGAAGAATTGAGCACAACAAGAAGCACATACAGGCATGCCACAACACCGACTTGCACAGATGCCTCTACAAAATTTGTAGGTGAATGGGCTATGTTCTACCACAGGAATCTCACAAACAGAAGGGCTCATTCACGGCACATTGCAGCTGTTGTCACAAGGCCTTGTGGCATACAAACAAACCAGGAGCACTATAAGCTACAGAATCCAACACAGCAATTATCGTCAATGAACCACCTGGCTGTCTCGACATGAAGTGCATGAGCACCACTGCGTGAGAAGCCACCGCCAATGTGCACAAAAGCGACAATAGGCAACACTTGGCATCACCTAATTGCGGTTCCACACAGGCGAAGGGACATTTTGTATCAAGTGTCTTTCTGCAAAGGAAGCAATCGCATTCACAAAGCAACAGGAGGAGCAAGAACCACTGAGCAACTGGGTATATGGCATCAACTAGCTATAGAAAAGGGTATGTCCAAAGGTTGTGCAATCTGTGGCAACGACTGCTGCCTAAAGAACCATTGATGTCAGGAATGTACACACCTTCATACAGAAATGCATTAGCCAGTGCAACTTGATGCAATCCCACACGAGGGATAAACTGCTTCCATTTCCTTGGCAAATGAGCCTGCAGAACGCACCTCCTCTGAGATGGACTTGTAGAATGCTTTCTGCCAAGCAGACATGTCGCATTTGATAATCTGCTCCGTCTTGTTTGGCAGCTCTTTCTCAACCTCACTCTTCGTTCGCCGAAGCAGGAAGGGACAAATGGCCAGGTGAAGGCTGTTGATGACCAGCAGCTGCTCTTCTTCCAAAAGCTGAGAGGACACATCTTCCCCTGGACCCTGCAAAGCCATCCAGGCTCTGGTGGGCAACAACAAATGCCACTGGGATTGCCACTCATGCCTGGTGATCTCAAGCGGAGAGACCAAGCATGCATGCCAATGAATCATCATGCCTTCAACACTGCTTCAACAGAGGTTAATATTTGCAACAAAACTAGGCAAGTACACTGCTGACATGAGGCAATCACAAAACACTGACAAAGTAGCCAAATTGCTACACTGACAGACTGTCCCAGTGTACCTTGGCCCCTGGGTCCATCCAAGCAACAGCAAAAAATCTGGGATCTCCCCTGCAACTATACAAGGTGTCAACTATCGTTGTTGCTACCAGCCATTGTGGTAGCTGGGCAGAACTGGACAACCAACAGCCCATGGTGCACCTGTCTGAAATCTTGAGGACTAATCCAAAACACTGAATAAGACTGCAAGAATAATATGGCAGGCAATACAAGAATATTTCAAACATCAAATAGCAGCAACAAATACAATGGCTAAGACGGGTTTCCAATGTCCGAACCACATGCCTTTGCAACACGTGCGGTTCAACTCCAGGAACAGAAACACCGCAACTGTACCATATAACAGAACTGTGTATGCATAAATAGCCAATACATGCATACATAACAGAAAGCATCTGCAGGACTCAGCACATCTCATGTGACTGAGAATCCAAATCACTCAAGTTGCAACCTGAAACTGCTGAATGAACACAGAAAATGTGTTTAACAAAGCATAGCATCCATTTTTGGGCACCTAGTAGAGACCATCCCAGAGGCCCAAAGGGATGCATATGGCCTCCCACCTACCTTGAATGGAGCGGCAAACCAGTCATCAAATGTGTCAGAAGAATTGAAGACCTTTGGCAACAAGAAATTCAGAAGGGACCACAGCTCATTCAGGGAGTTTTGAATAGGTGTTCCAGTGAGCAGTAGTCGATACTTCGAACGATTCTCTCGAAGAATCTCAAAGAGTTTGCTTTCGTGGTTCTTCAGGCGATGACCCTCATCCACAATTAGGTACTCCCATTGAGTCTGCAAGAGCCCGAAATCCAGGAGATCAGCAAAGACATAGTTGCTGCAGTTCATGGTACAAAGGTGCACTGTAGGGTAACCGGCAGACAGGGATGCACAGACACCATAAACAACTCTGTTAAGCACAGCACACCGCACAACACACTGCACAGCATGGGAGTCAATTGGGCTGCAAGAATTTCAAGAGCCAGCTTTGCCTCTACAAACAAGCTGTTCTGTTTGATGTATCGACAATTCAAGTGGTGCCACACATGACGTGACTTTCTGTTGCTGGATGTGGAATGCAATCAATACCACGTCAATGCAATTCACACAACAAGCATTGTACCAAACAACTTCTGGCCAATTCTGGCCAACTGTTGGCCTCCTTCAATTAAGGTAACACACACGTCAACACAAGCAAATGTTGCTTGGTTGCTTCTGTGCTTGTCATCGCTTGCTGAGATGCAAGGGCTTGTTTCGTGAGGTGCATTCGACATTGTTGCAAACAGAATTCTCACACACATTGACACAACACAGCAACAGAGTACATCCCTGGAAAGCACAGCAGGCAAGGCCCTACCTTTTTGAAGACATTTTTGTCCCTGATGACGATGTCATAATGTGTCACCAGAACATTGAAGGAACCCTTCACTATGTCTGCCCTCATCAGCTTCCGCTCTTCAGGCGCCCCATCATACATTATGACATTTATGGATGGTGTCCATTTCTCAAACTCCCGCACCCAATTTAGCAGCACAGCCTTCAACAGTGCATACATTAAGGTACCTTGTCAATTGGTCATCACAGAAAGCCAAATAAGCACAGAGCTGAATGCTGGTTCCAGGGTGGCGTAGGTAGGGTGGGGTAGGTAGGATGGGGGTGGGCACACCATGGGGTTTGCAAGTGTGACACATTGAGGACAGGTCCATGTGAACAGTGAACATTGCTAGTCAGGCAAGCCAACTGGTGCCAGTTTTTTCCTGTGAACCACAGTTTCATTGCTCTAGGTGCAGCCTAAATCCTAGCACCAAACTTCCAGAGATTACAGTTTCAGGAAAGACAGCACTGCATCAGTGTAAGGTTGTGCAAACACAGAGATTTGTCACATTCTCATGCATGCTGTCAGGCCGGAATCCCATCGCAACGGAGGGGCAGATCGTCTGGGCATGGAGAATAGATGCCTCCATAAAACCAAACATAAATACAAATGTACAACCAAATGTTGACAGACACACGGCTCACTAGTGTGTTGATGGCCCATGACACAACAGATCAGCAAGGAGCCACAACCCTAACCAGAAGTAAACAGAGAAGGCAAGGAGTTGACAAACTGTTCATGCCAAGAAAGAGGTCACTGAAGCAGCCAAGCCTGGCCCACAAGCGGTACCAAGCACACATTTGAACCCAAACTAAGAGGCAACAGAAACATGAGAACTCTCCAACACCCAGCAACCGATCTGGCAACGATAATTCTTCTCTGATTGCAACTGCCCCACAGACAAGGCCACTAGGCAATGATGACCTCTGCTGCATTTTGTTGCCATAATGCACAAGCATGTCTCAATTGGCCTGTCTGCACCATGCATTGCTGACTGGATTCTAAAACGCCCCAGCCCATCAATGTTGTTACAAGTAGCTGCAGATCGAACAGCAAACAGCCTCCACAATCTGCAACACTCCTTGACCAACTTCAAGCCCCTACCCACGTCACTGGAATTATCATGGACTCTGAGCTGACTTTGGTGACTTCTCCGACCAGGGGTACAAGGCACTTGCAGTAATACCCAACCACCCCCTGAAATCTTGGCATTCTGCTGCACATGCACAGCTACATGCCATGTTCAAATGCGACTCTGACCATGTAGCAACAGGTGTCTGCTTCATATGTGTGCAAAATCGAGCACCTCTGGTTGACATTCAGAAGAGGAAGCATTTGCAACTGACCGCTTGGAACCTGCTAAGTGATCAGCAACAGTAGGAAAATAGCCAGACGATGCATGGTTAACTCGCACCTTTGGGGCTACTACCAAATGTGGTCCCTTGCTGTCCCCATTCTCCATTAAGAAAGCAAGCAAGGCAATGGCTTGGATTGTCTTTCCAAGGCCCATCTCATCCGCAAGGATCCCTGCAATCCAGCCTGAAGCTAAGCCGCTGTGCCAACCAGACAAAATGCATAATCGAGGATGTGCACATCTCATATATGCTTCAACCTTCATGAACACAAATGCTGGCCCATGAAGCGTGCTTGCCGATGCAGATGACACCATGAATCCCCATTGCCTAAGCAGAGCTGTGCAGCTTCACTGCAGCTATCATGACACCTCACTTTCTAAACTCTTTTGAAGCCGTACTCTACTTGCCATCTCTTCATGGACCAAGATCAGCAACGACAGCACGAGACACAGTTTGCAATTGTTGCCAGTGCAACATTGAATGGAGCATGTGTGGTGTGCAGAAACGATTCTACAAATACAGGCAAGGACAGCTGCAGAGTGCTGTGAAGAAATCAATTCACACCACTTGAAGCAGCTGTTGTTACAGAAAGAAGACTCTGCAACGTGCCGATGGCATCCCTTTCCAGAGGTGAGGCTTCGAGGCACCTTTCCCACACTGCAATACATAATGTGGGACGCTCTCTGTGCCCACAACAATCCTACAACACAGAGCAGCACAAGTGGCAACAATCCCTGATGGCCATGTGCCCAAGCTCCTCTGTTCGGACAGGCCCTGGTGACTACCTGTCTTTCTGCTTGTGTGTCAACCTGTGTTGTGTGATTTCCTATTGTGTGCATGGTATCCTTCCAATCAACACAACTCTGTGCCTGCCTCAGCTCACCGTTCATCTTGTTGCTGTACAGAGAAACAAGGAAGCGGAGTCCATCGAGCTGGTACGACCTTATCGAGCCCCCAGTCATGTTCGACGGTTGCTCCCTCACGTTGGGCCTGTCCAACCAAAGAAAATCTCACTGAGTGGCCGAACCAGTTGGGCGAAAACATGTGTCTTAATGCAGACAGCCACTAGGCACTCCACTCAGGAGCTTCCAATTTGACTGCACATTCGCACAACAGATATAGAACAGAATTGCATATATTTCTGATTTACAAGTATGTTTCAAGGTTGTCAATTCAATGTGATCAACAGAACAGGGGAGTGTGGCCAACAATTGATTACATGTCGGGCAGTATGGAGTGGAAAGTGTTCAACTCTTCGCACATGCGTGATGGACACGTATGAACATCACTGTTCTGTGACACTGGGAACACGAAATGCCCCCAGCACAAGACCGTCAACTCATCACTATTCAAGTGGTCAGAACTTGTAATGCCCCATACCCATCAACCATTGACTCACTTGACTTGATGGACCACACTGTAGTATTGTAAATGCCCTTGCAAAAACCTTCCAGATTTCTCCTTAGTGATCATAGAATTAGCAAAATTCTCTGCATCCAATCTCCCATCAGGGTCAGTTTCGTCTGCACCCTCGATGACTTTTCTTTGATCGTGAACCTGTGATCGAAAGCAAAGACATGAGCAAGCCACAAGCCATTCAGACAAGCAGTGTAGGGGCGCAAATCACTGTGAGGACAAACGGCTGCAGATGTGAACATAATCCAACATCGCTTTTCCTGTGCAAGGGCACTGCACTGTTCCATTCGACAAGAGCAATGCAAGCAGACAACAAAACTGCAAAATATGCTGCAATTCAAGAACGGTATCCCCAGGCACACAAAGATGTTATTCACAAAAGTGGTGCTTTGATGAGCAAATCTCAAGATACCAATGAACGGCAATCTGTCCAATAGACAGCATAAGCTATTGGCACCATTTATTCTGGAAACTCGGCGGGCTCCAAGACTTTTTGGTGACACATCAGCCACAACCATTGCCAGCCAGCAGTACATGGTCTGCTGCAGTCGATGGTAAGAGCAGTGACTACAAGTCCAGAATCCTTGGAGCTGTGCAGTTTGCCACAGTTGAATCGAGATGTTGGCAATGGCATAACCATCCATTGTTCCAAAAAGGAACAGAGTTCCTTTGCAGGCATCACCAGCACCCTTTGAACACACATCGCGGCGCCTGTCCCATCACTGGTCTTCTGTGTGAAGCAAAATTCAACTTGCAGATGGGTTGTACAGAACCCAGGACCTGGAAAATGATGTCGTTCGCCACCTGTGGTCAAAGCACCTCTGTACGACGGCAAGCTCACCTTCAGCCCTAGCTCAACAGCGATGTCATCTGTTTTCTTCATGAGCTCCTGCAGGCGTCTTTGCTTGGTGCTCTGCGCCAGTTTCAGATACGTTTCATAGTCGTTATCCTTCAAGGCCTTCAGGCGGGCGGCAGCCAACCGTGAAACTTGTTTCAGCTCCCTGACCAAGCATTTCAATGCAACAAGTCAATTTTGGCTATCACGAACAAAATGGCTCCAACGTCAAATGCAAAAGGCACACATGCTGGCCAATGCATTACCTTCCTCAAGACAGCAGCCAAACTGTGCATCATTAATTGTTGCACATCGTTAGATGCATGTGTTGGTGCTATGCACCCCTCTTCTTTCCATCTGATAAGCTCATGATAGCACTCACTTGTTGTGCCATTGCTTCACTGCCTGGTTCCTTTGGAGACGTTTTCTGGCAGCATTCGCAACTGCTGTTCTTAGTTCTCGCCCTCCAGCAAGCACCTCCTGGTTGAATGCCTTCCTCTGCTGTATAGCACGCTGTCCCAACAAACATCCAGAGAAGTCACATTACACTGGGGTAATGATTCCCAACTCTTGACATGCATATTGATATGCACCTACTTGGATTGCATGCGCCAGAGCCACTCCAAATTCAACTCTCATGCAAGTTATGACTCCTACTTCATATCCTATATCATTGGCTTACTTGGATCCACAGTGCATCCTCCTGCAAATGTCATTGCCTTCTCACTTGACACATTCACACCAAAACAACAGCCCTTCCAAAATGGAATAGAAAGCCAGACGCAAATCTTGAAAAAGCAGGGAGGTAAAGTTGGTAGATAAACTGCAAACTCACAATCAAACAAATCAACCTGTCAGATACAGGCACACAGATTAAAAGGCCCGCAATCTCTTGCCAAGAAAGCAGCTGCTGCACACAACGGCAAGCACCACCTGCACGATGCCCCCACAACTGTGCGGTCCACACCGCAAGAACAGCCTTTGCGCGCTTTCAACTAAACGCAAAGACAATCTGCACTTAGCATCAATGGAACTGCCACCTGCCACGACTGAAGTACAGCAGGCCTGTACATTCTTATCATTTGCACTCAGACAGACGTTGTTCACTCAGCCTTGTGTCAACAAGGTGTGCCTCATATTTACATTTTTCATCTCCTGCTCAAGCCTGAAGATCCGTTCCTCATCTTCCCTTTGCCGTTTTTCCGTTTCGATCAACTTCTTGGCCTGCTGAAGTCGCACTCGATTCACTTGTTGGTAAATCAGGCTCCGACGGTAGTCATCATCCAGGCGTTTCAACCTTAGCTCACAAATGCAGAAAGGCAATGAGGTTGTTGATATCAAATGCGATGGCAACATCCAAACAATAAAACATCGCCTGATAGGTGGCACTCCGCATACTGCAAATGGCAAGGCACAGATGGCACGGCTGAGATGTAAGTCACCAATCAGTCAGTATCAGCCCAGCTTGACATTCATGCTATCATTTCCTTGTATAAACGTGCAAGGCAACCATATAGAACTTGCCGTGGGCCCTATATTGCACCAACTGGTTTAGACTGCTGCACCAACAGACCAACCCACAACTGCCAGCAAATGAGCTTGCATAACCACTGGTGTGCCTGCATCCCATTCCTGCTCACTGTGTTGGGATTGGTACTATCGTCAAGGACCAGCTGTGCTTGCCTGTCAGTCTCCCTACTAAGAACATCTGGCCTGCATGGCTGTGGCACAGGCTTTCGTGGGGGAAACCTATATGCAGGTGCATCCATCCTGGGTAGTGAGTCAGGCATGGCTCTCCGATATCGTCCCCACTCCAGCAATGCATCCGCCCTGCATTCCCTGTCCAACCACGCTTCTGAAGCAATCTGCTTGCGCAGTTTCTGCTGCAATGCTGATAGTTTGAGCTTCTTTTGCTGGATCAGCAGGTGAAGTTTGACCCCCTGACGGCCAGGCAATACATCAGGCAATGAACAACACGTGAAGGAAGACACAAACACACTCCGAGTGCGGCTTCCAAGGGGCCTGGCTCATGATGTTTGGGTATAGGTTTTCTTGGAGCTCATCGCTCCAGGGCTTTTTCAGCTAGGCCTTGGGCTTGTGCCCAGGCACCAGTAGCAAACTCAGCACAGCCACCACACACTTGTCCTTAATCGATGAACAAACTTTCAGACTGAGAAGATTGGAGACCTGTCACTATTATACAGAGAACCAATGCATCTTCAGGGTTGAATCTGCACATCTAGGGATCAATCGATGAGCAAACTTTCAGTATGTGAGAGGTTTGGAGATCTGCCACAATGATGCAGTGAACCAATGCCTCTTCAGTGCTGAATCACCACATCACATGAACAGCGACGACAGCAACAAGAATACATTGCAGCACCAGAAATGTCCAGGGATGGTGCACAGCAGTTATGCACATACATCTGGAACGCCGTTTGGTATGGTGGCCACCTCGTCCCTCCTGGCCTGCATCCTGGCATGGGCGGATACGTGATGCAGCTTCCGGGCCTCAAGAACCCCAGTGCATTCATTGGCAGCGCCAGCGTTGGCAAGCAGCTGAAGGGACAAGAGAACATGATCAGGTCTTGCACAAGCCCTTTGCAATACAGGACATCCAAACAGCATTGCCACTTGCAACATATTTGGTCACTCTCTGGCGAGAACAACAATGGAATCCACTGCAATCAAAAGGCACTTTACGCCCACAGTTGGATGGATGCATGCACAAATAACAGTCCTGGTCAGTTTGGGTGATTTTTTATTGCTGCAAGGTCATTTTCACTATGTTGAAGTGTCTCAAATGCACACAAGTTGGGTGCTGCTGTTGCAATTCTGTTGCAACATCAAGACTACCAATGTTCCAATTCGTCACCGTGATCTCACGGCTGTGGGGATGACCACCGATACACCAGTGCCTGGTGCTGATGCTCACAGTGCACACAATCTGCACTGAGCAAAGGACTGATGACACACAAGATGTCAAATTTAGCAATAGATGGCATCTTTTGCTGGATCGACACAATGGAATCCTATGGAATTGTCAGGCATGCATGCATGGTTGCCAACATGGATGCAACTAGACTGCAAGCTACGCCACCCAAAAGCACTTGCTGATGTGCTCTGATTACCTACAACCTGTGCATCAATCGTCAAATTCAATGGCTGTGCTCATGCTTGTGGTACTCATCGACTCTGTACAGGTACGTTGCCTGGTCAAAATAAAAAGCGTATCAGGTGCATTTCGGACTTGGGGTAGATTTGTGCTCAAATAATGTCCTGAGCGCCCCATTCCCTGTGTGTCTGGTCCCCAGCTTTGGCGGTGCACTTCAAATTCTGTGCACTGAACAATTTGCCAAGGCAAAGTAGTGAAGTGGGAAATGGAAGGTCACAGGGAAGTTGGGTGCTTAGAAGCATCGGAGTTTCAACAACTAGGCCTTTCACGTACAGAGCTAATCAGAGGCACTGATCGGTGTGTGACACTCTTCTGCTACTGCCCATTTGAAGCAGCCACTGCAGATCGTTTTAGGACTTAACAACAAGGGCATCCCTTCATGCAGCACAGGATCACTCCTTAGGCACTGCCACACCTTCCTCCTCAGAGTCCATCGCAGTCGCCACGGACACCACCAAGAGTCAAAGGACACTCGAGACTGCAAACTTGGCGACGTCCCTTTCGAAACTGCACTCTCCAGCGCTGCTTCCCAAACCCTTGGACGCCATCAAGCCCCAAGCCAACCCACGCGGCTTCCACGCCCATTTCACAACCACCCACACCAGTGGTGCAACTTTTCGCCCCATTGCTCCCCTGCCACTGTACCGCCCCACTGCCACACCCCTGCACTCCCCACCTCGCACTTCCACACCGCACTAAAAACGACTCCCACAAACCCATAGCCCACAGAACGGGGCACTCCGCCACTATTCACCCCAGTCCCTGGTCCACCACAATCCAATTTCCCACCCATTCTCCCACCACCCCGCTTTGCTCACTACATTGATGCATCCGTGTTTTAGGGAACAAACGAACGAGCAAACAAACCCACCCTCCGCACCACAATGATGCATCCTTTCAAGCAAGCGAACAAGTAAACTAGCCCCACCTTGCGCACTTCCCTCGCGTCCACCTCCCTCCCGCGCGCCACCCGCCGCATCAGCCGATGCCCCACCGGCAGGTTCCTGCCCAGCCTTGCCAGTGCCTGCTGCTGCGCCCGCAGCCTGGCCACCAGCGGCTCTGGCCGATCGACCCCATCGCCGGCATCCCTTGCCCTGGCGCCCAGCGGGAATCGGCCGGCCAGGCGCTCGAGCGTCTGTTTGAGGGCGGTGTCGCACAGCGGGTTGGCCTGGGAGGCGTAATGCGACTCCTGCAGCCTGAGGAAGCCGTCCATGGGGCGAGGGCCGGCGCCCCTGCGGCGTGGGTCGGCTGCGGCGGGGGGCATCGGCCCCTGCGCTGTGGCCACAGCCACCATATGGCTGCAACTGGTGCTTCACAAACCAACAATTATAATGTGCCACTGCGAATTTTATCCAACTTATACCCAATTAGCGTCCAATTTATATCCAATTTATGTCGAATACATCCGTATGTATGTCCAATATGTTCATATATCCATTGTATCCATTACCCAATACATCCACCCGTGTGTCCAATTTCATCCAGTTGTATACCCAATTATAATGTGCCGTGGGCGAATTTTCACTGGAGCGGCTGATTGGTGAGTGCAGCTGGCCTGACGCGTGTTTGGCGACTGCTTTCCATGCTGTGCATTTGTGAAGGCCACGACGTGCGGAAGGCTGCGGATTTCGACTTGGGGCAGCTGCGGTGTCCAACGGAGCTTCGGCTTTTCCCAGCGAGTCCGCTGGGGCCAGGGAAGGGGTCAGCGAAGGCTGCTCGTGAGGCGGCGAAAGCAGTGGGATGCCGCAGAACGAGCACATCGAGCTCCATGAGAAGCGCTATGGGTATCGATTGGACCAGCATGAGCGAAAGAGGCAGAGGGAGGCGCGCGCCGCGAAGGAGCGATTGCGCATGGCGTGAAGGCTGATGATTGGCTTGCCAGGGAAGGTGCACCCCCGGAGGCTGCACAAGGAGAAGATCCTCACGAAGAAGACCATTGCATGCACGAGGAGAGGGACAGGGAGAGGAGGCTGGACGATGGGCAGCCGCAAAACGCGATGCCGGCGTACCTTCTAGAGCGTGATCAGGCGAGTGCGCTTTGCCTGGTCGTTGTCAGATTCCATTGTTGAATTTGCCATCGAAGGACAAAGCAGGGCGCCTGCTTCTTGCAGGAGATGTTGGGCGCGCATCCTCGCTGATCGTTGCGTAGCATGTTCTATTCCTTGCCAGGAGAGTGCGTTAAGGTTTCAAATCAATCCGTTCGATAGCATTTGCCAAGATCTGACGAGGCGCTGCTCTTGCAACTCGAGACAATGATGGCCACCGTACATTTCATCTGTTGATGGGTCGTGTATTCCTTCGAATGATTTTGTCTTAAGAGTGACAGAGCACTGCCATTGTGGAAAGCATTATGGGACATTGGTGCCCCTACAGAATGCCCAGAATTCGATTGCCATGAAGCCAGAATCCCAACTGCATTATCTTGATGAGGAGCCACAACAATCTTGTGGCTGCGGCGATGCTTGTTTGGAGCTTCAAACAACCTCCCTTCTTATATGGGGTGCATCCAAAGCCGTCTCGAATTTCACATCTTTGTCACCATAATGGTTTGTGTACGAGCCCCTGAGTGGAAATCACACGCGGTGCTCAACACTAGGATGTGGATTTCCTTGCTGCGGCAACACTCCTGAGCCCTTGTGGAATTCGAAACAATGCAACGGACCTGTTGCGACGCAGTCTGTCCTTTGACCGATGTTGCCTTGTGCATTGCACCAAACCTCAAATGAACAGGACTATTCAAAATGTGCTTCCACACCGAGAAAGCGATCGAGTTTGAGGGCAGCACGATCTCCACCAGTGCTGCTGATGGATTTCAGATGTTGGTCTCCTTGTGCTCTCAGTGCCTTACATAATTTCAACGTGCAAATGTTCAATCTCTATTGCCTGTGCGACCCCTTGCTTCACAACAGCCTTGTGTTTCATTTTCCAACAGGCGGACCATGCCAACGTACTGAGCAACGCAATCAAGCAGAAACGAATGGGGAAAGCTGGAAAATGGGAGGTGTCAATATCAGAGGTGGGTGGCACTTCCAGAGTGTGAGATATTGAAAGCGCCTACTCGATTTGAGAAAGACGATGGCTTTGGGCACTTCAAGAACTTTATTGAAAGGGGGCTGGGGCTGCAGATTCGCCAACAACTGCCAGCATTGGCCACAGACAGATGAACCAACGTAAAAGAACTCTCAAGGCGCCAGGCACAAGTCCGCTTCAACAATGATCTGCACCACGTCCTGATCTGGCACTTGAAACTTTGTTCGTGGCTCCCAAAGCAGCCGTCGATCTGAATGTGAGGCACCAGTGTCAAAGTCGCTCTATTAGACATCTCCAGATGATAGGCCAGCACCAATCGGCTGAATGGCTGCCAGGCAAACTCCATGAACTGACAGCACAATATGTCATTTGGGCTGTAAACATTCCCACATCCACAATCTAACCTACCCGCCCACTGTACCATTTATTGCCATATGCGTTCAGATGGTAAGACACAGTTTCAGCGCCTGCCCAGCCCCAGAAATCTTCACAACGCAATCCCAGATCTTGAAGGTCACAAGTGTGCCCATTCAAACACCAGCATTTCAAGTGAGATCCCAACCAAAACCATACCCAGTCTGCTGCAATGCCGTAAGAAACAGTGTTATTGGCGACAACAACTCGTTGGGCTTCTCCTCTGTTGCAAGGATCCCGCACTCTGGTATCTCCACCCAAGCTGCATGTGTGTGGTCGATGATGGTGTTGATATGTAGGCAGTCCCTACTGTAGGTAGATTCCTCCCCACACAGTACCAGCGTCCGACACTTCAAATTCTGAACGTCTTCAGACAGGTCCGGCCGCTTCAGAATTGCTGAGAGATACTGGCTGACGCCTTGGGAGGATAGGGAGGCCATTCCGTGCTTCAAGGACAGGGCAAGGTTCCTTTCTTGACCTGCATTATGACAAGCAAACCAGAAATCGTCAGCAGCCAAAATGTGGCTACTTTGATGCTTGCACACAAACATGCCTGATGGTAAAACTGGCTGTTGGCCCTCCTTGAGTCAATGACAGCCACCATGGCAAAGACTTCGAGAGCCGCATGTGGCTGCGGATGCTGGCAACGTGCTTAACTAGCAGCCCACAAGCTACAAGCGAATACTATAGCGGATACTGTGCCCATACCTCTGCTGTGAATAAGCCTTGCCAGCAGGTGCTCCTTCACCGAGTCTACCATGCCCACAACGTTGAGCTTGGACACGGCATAGCTCCCAAAAGTCCACTCCCACCAGCCAGGCCGCAAGCAAGGAGGCGACACCAAGATCAGGCCAGCCATTTTCTGTCAACCCAGGAAGCGCCACCAAACAATCAGACCGTACAGAAAAAGCAGGGCGCATGGCGTTTTATGTTGCCACCAACAAGTGAGCCGTGGATGGGGTGTGGACTGATGGATTCAGATGTCAACTGCATTGTGTCACAACAACTGATGGATTTAAAACTCTGGGGTAATGTTAAACAACCAAGCGTTTATCCCGTGGAAGACAGCAGCTGAAGCCCACGCCTTGGCACTGCCCCAGCAACTGGCACCCCAACAAACTCGTCTTCCGCAGTAATATTACAGGTAACGTGGGATTCATTTCGGAATAGAAAGAGAAAATGACGCTCCTGTCAAAGGGGAGGTGTATCCCACTCTGGAACCACCCACCTTGGGGTGCTGCGCAGCATACATTGCCAGAATATAGCCACCAGCGCCAACGCCCATGCCAAGGATCTCATTCAGATCGAAATGCTCAACTACAGCATCAACCTGGTCCATAAGTTTGTGCACAGTCAAGGGTAGGGCATCGGGATGCACATTAGTCGCACCATCCTGTACAGGACAATCTTCCAGTCAGCATGTAGTGGAAAACAAGTGAAGAACATAACAGAACAGCATGCTAGGAGCATTATGGAGAAGAATAACATGAAAGTAGGTAGCATGCTCATCAGTGCACAAATGCTCAGTTGTTACACTTGTCAGAAAACATGGCAAGGAGTGCACCAGTCAGGCGACATCGGTTTCACAGTATGGTGTTACCACTCCCCACTACCCCTGAGGACTGCCAGTGAACCATCCAATACCAAGGTCATCCAGCATGAAGGTTGGAGCTTTGAACAGTGATCTATGCACAATGCCTAGAAGAGGGGAATTTAGCACATTGTGTCAAGGCCAGAAATTAGCCATTGTGTCCAAACAGCCCAATGACCTGAGGACATCTTGGAGACTAGTCAGGTCCACAGAGGCAAGACAGGAGTTTTGCTGTTCCTTTGCTCTCCCTGACTGTCTAGGACTACAATCTGCAGACCACAGGGAGGGTTGGCCTGATGGTGTCATGAGCAAACAGGATGAAAAGAGCAGGCACCCACTTGTAACAGGAGAGAGAATACATGACACAGTAGGCACACCCTCGTGAGCAAAAAACATGGTGGGACTCTTCCACGCTGTGCAAAATGATGTGCAAGTCGCCAAATGCAGCTTGCACATGCACAACACAAGCCAGGATGGGTTGAGAGGGTATTTGCCTAGCGATGTAAAGCCATAGTAGGCTGCTAGGAATTGGACCCTGTCTCGAAATCTGAGTTCAATGGAGAAATGTGACATTACCAGTGTGCCACATTCCAACGTTGGTTTCGAGGACTTGTTCATTCCCATGCATCCAAGAATGCCTTAGGATCTTGCTGCATCGTATTTTGTGTGCACAAAAGCGCCTCAACACTTTTCTGGCTCGGGATGGGATAGCACACTGCACGACATGTCATCGTTTTCAGGAGAGAAAGCCCTTACCTCGCACCCGGGCGCGTCGATGTGGTAGAAGCAGAAGTTCTTGACGAGCAGAGGCCGCGAGGCGCTGCACACCAGCAGGCCCTGGAAGCAGGACTGGTGGTTCAGGCCGACGTCGTGGAACGTGACGCATGGGCTGGCCTTGCGGTCACCCATCACCGTCACCGATATGGGGCCGTACTTCGTGTACACCTGCACGGTGGAGCCTGCTCCGAGCAACAGAGCCACGAACCTACGAGTCAGATGCCATCAAAGCGCTGGCCACCACAGGGGCGATTGCGAAACTGGCAGCGTGCAGCAAGCTTTGAAGACCGCCAATCCAGAAAATTTTCACGCCAGGGCAAGCAGGCGGCCGTCAGTTCCCCGACGTTTGCAACATTTCGCCTTGGCTACAATTTGACACCGAGTTGGACCGTCCTCCACAACGGCGACCCGGCGATGTGCCTCAAACAGGTGGACAGATCGTCAAATCTTCGCACGAGAAACTTCGCTCGCGGCGTCGGCGTTGGCTTTGCCACTCTGCCGCCTAACCATGAACGTCACCAACTCTCTCGAGTGCGTTGCCCGAAGCGCAATCACCCGAGAAGGTCGCGACTGGACGGTCACGCAGACGTTCCGCGCGGTATCATCTGCTTCCCGCCCATCTGTCCATCAGGACAGCCAACAGCCTCCCGAGGCGCACCCTCCAATCGCGTCACGCCCCCCAGGTCCAGCTCCAACATCTTTTCTTTGCCCATCGCCTCCATGGGCTGGAGGTCGCCGGTACGCGTCGGAATTCGGGTGTATTCGCCCATGGCTGCCAACTTCCACGGCCTGCCCGAAGGCAGCTGGGCCTATCTGAATAAGGTCTGTCTGAAGAAGTCTCCTCCGAGGCTGTGGGGCCAAGCACCCTTTCGGCCACCGCGGAGGGGCGCTGAGCGGGGCGAGGCAGTGGCACACCGTCCCTCTGCCCTCAAATACACCGTCGGGAGCATAAGTACTGTGAAAAGTACGGAAGCGCTGGCCGCATCGGCCGCCACGTCAGTCGGGGCTGGCGGTCGTCTGAGCCAGCAGCTCACGCCGGGGAAAAATGTTTGAGCGTTGGGGCGGCGTGGTGCTGGTGGGCTGCCGTCCTCCAAGGCGGCTGGGGGGCCCCTTGGCTTGTCGCTGGCTGTGGCGCACATTGAGATCAGTGATGGCACTTCGTGATCGGGAAAACCGACTCGAATGCAGGCAGCAGTCCTTGACTTCAGCTTCATTTTAGGATGTTAGTAAGCTCAAATCCTTTGATTACGTTTGTCTCATAAACATGACAAAACACTGCCCTTGCACCTTATAGGCGATGTTGGGCATAAATTCCAGATCAGTGCTGCTGATCTTATCGCGCTGTTTGTTCATTGTCACAGAGAATCCCTCCCCCCGTGTCCGAACACCCTTCATCTCCCAGAAGAAAATAGTCTCATGTCTCATCCCATTTTCTAGTAGTGTACCCAATCCGCACTGGAAATCCTTGCGCAGGTCCTAGGTCCCACAGTGTGAGCAGCAAATAGAATCCAGCACTCGCAGTGCTGACAAGAATCCATTTTCTGAGATGTTAGCAAGCATTCAATAAAACTTTAATGGGAGTATCAGGCGTCATTTCCAACCAATTTTGGGTTGTGCGGCTGCCCCTCCACCTTCACCGACGTGGAGACAGTGCTTGTGGGGCCCAACATCTTGAGGCATGGGTTAGAGTGGTTTGCATCTTCCGGTCGCAGGAACAGCCATGGCAGGAAACTTGTCTGCATCAGCGCCGTGCAAAAATAAACGCCATGGAGGAGGTCTCCATCGCAATGAGAGCTGATTGCACATCACGCTGGTGCACTGTGCAACTCTGCTGTAATTGTTTGAGATCGCCGCCACGTGTCCCATGTTTGCTGATTGAAGAGAAGGATGGCTGAGCTGCAGTTGTGCGGATGTTTGTGCCAAGTTGACAAGCTGATGGTGAGTATGCGTTAGGGTCGCCTTGTGCCCCAGCCGAATCGTGTGGCACGCTTCCACAGAATGCCTGCATCAGTGATATGTCAGCGCGGTGCTTTTGCTACTGAAAGCAGTGCACCCAGGCATGTATGGAACAGCCTCCAGTATTGTTCAAGGCAAGCGCTGCCAAAGATTAACAGAGTGGTTTGTCACATTTTTGTTTTCGCTTGGTCGCACTGAAGGTGCCTGTCCTTGCGACTGGGATGGACCTGGCGTTATCACAGAGGCCCTGGGAAGTGCAAGGTGCATATCCCGTGGAAAGCTCCAATATCGTGCCAACAAAACGGCCGGGCACGGTGCTAGACGGGCACCCGGATAGAAAGCTGCGATTTAATTGCAGCTTGATTGCTGCTAACAGAGTATGAACGTATGACACGGGAAGCGACGTGGCTGTTTCGTGCAACCCCTGTGTGTTTGTTCCATTGAACGAGGTGGCGGCACGGGTGACTGCCCTGGAATGCGTGCAGATGGCTGCACTGAAGAGTCTGGCCACACACCTGCGTGCGCCAAGCAAGGACCAGCATACTTCTAAACAGGAGCGTGGTGTTGCCCTGTTTTCTTGCTCTTGCGTGGCTTGCCCGTCCAGTACCAACGAGCACACGCACATATCTGAAAAAAATCTGCTAAAATGCGGCAAGACTAGCTCTTGGGTGAGTGGGCCTCGCACGACTTGTGCAGTGTGCGCTGCGGACGTGCTGCTTTAGCGCAAACAATAGGCCTTGGCAACCTGAAGATGCATGCTTCTGGTGCCGCGGACTGGAGCGTCATCAGCAAATTCGCCTCCCAAAAAATTGTGAATCAATGATGGAACATACAAAACCTCCCCGACTAGCGTCTGTCGAGGCACGTCCTTGGAAAGAATCCCGTCGTGAGCAAGCATCCCCCATCGGCGCCCGAGGGCCCAAGGGCCCGACAGCGCAAATTCGAAGAGTTGCCACCATCAACGAATCCCCTAAATCAATCATACGAAGCAAAATGGTGTTGGCAATGCCCCGCTTAGCACTACGCACCATCGGCAGGCTCTGGTAACCAAAGGCTGGCAGCGACGCCCCCGCCCAAGAGCACCCCGACCACCAGCAGCGACAGCTCTGTGGAAATGTGGTAGTCTGTGAAGTCCGCAATCATCTTCACACCAATGAAGCCCAACACCAGCGCCACCGCCTTGTCAAGGTACCTGAGCTCGGTCATGATCACACTGACAAAGCCTGTGACGTAGCAGGCGCACCCACTATGAGTGTTCATCAAGCATTGCTGAGGTCAGGCAATCTGCCATCAGCATGCACAACAGCGAGCAAGGATGCATCAATGGCAGCTTGGTGCGTATTCATCTAACAGTACATTCTGGATGGTAGATGGAGATTCACACATTCACCATAAAATGTCAGAGACGAAGGCAGCAGCTCACAAAATACATGTGCTGCCAACAGTTGGACAAACGCACGCCTCCAGCGACTCACCATATAACGAACGCAGACTCAAGATAGCAAACATGTTGGATGTGTAGACGATGAATGGGTCCAAAGTCACACCAAATACTGCAGGGACGGAATCCACTGCGAAGACAACATCGCTAAGTTCCACCACAGCCAGAGCGAGAAGAAGTGGAGTTGCCACACGAACGCCATTTTCGAGAGTGAAGAAGTTCTCGCCATCGTACGCATCTGAAACGCGCAAGACCCTCTTGCACAACTTAACCACGCCGTTGTTCCCCAGATCCTGAACCAGGGCACAAGTCGTCAATTGACACATCATGGACAGCAGTACAGATATGCATACTTACAAGGTTTCAACCAGTGCACAAGGGCGCATAACGTAAATTCCATGGCAGACTTAACAACATAAAACTTCCTTGCAACAGTTGGCATAGTTTGATTGTCAGTTCATGTCCTGGCAAGCCCACTGTAGCAACTGAACAAGAACAGCTGCTGCTTTAGACATCAACTGCCAGTCCAGTGGCCAAGAGGGCTGTGGATCACTTAGGTTGTCCCAATTGACGTTGTTTCTCCAAGTGAAATGCATATCTCATATCACAAACACAACATTTTCCTGCAACTCTGAATGGTCTTTAAAGCCCGCCTGCAATCGGATTATTCAGTTCTTTTGCAAACACAAAGTACACATGCTATCGACAGGTACATCAGAAGTTGTACTATTCTCACTGAGAACCTGTCATGCACTTGTTGCAATCCTACACTGTGTGGCCTTCGCATGCAGGGAGGCAATATAGTTCGTTCCTGTTGAGGTTTGCATCTCTTATTTGGGATTTTCTGGATTTTCAGAATATGGCTAGTCCAAATCTCTCAACTTCTTGGTCCAGGCAACATCGATTGGTGCATGTCTGCTATCGTCTTCAAGGGCACAAGGACATTGTTTGTCATATCTGTCATATGCAATCAAATTGATCATCTGTGTCTCACCTCTTCATCCTCATTGCCACCAACAATGAGATTATAGGACGAGTACAGAAGCAGGCCCGCAAAGCCCAGCAGCACAGGCTTGAACGAGTCTATCAGCTCCACGCCCAGCACAACCATCACTAGGCGCAGCACTGCAGCTGTTACAATTCCATATGTCAGCACTTTGGGCTGGAATTCTGTGGGGGTCTGGAAGTAGTTGAACACCAGGATGAAGACAAACAGGTTGTCCACAGACAGGCTCTGCTCCAGAAGGTATCCCGCAAAGTACTCTTCTGCTTTCTCAGATCCCAGGAAGTACCACACGCCAGCACCAAATGCAAATGCTGCTCCAACCCATGCCGCAACAGACTCTCCACGGAACTCTACGTCCTCCGCTCCCTGATACAAGCAACAAAGGTTCTCTTCCTGACACAGAGGAAACTATTCCCATAATGGCAAACCCCTTTAAAAAATGTTGGTAAGACACTTTTGTCGAACCGCAGAAAGAAGAATCTGATTGTATTCAACAAAGTATTGCAAAGATTCTTCCACCAGTAAGGTGATGTCGGGCAATCCATACTGGCGTCAGACTAGATGTGGCAAAAAATATGTTCTGATGGCGGAGAAACATGTCACAAAAGGGCACCCCTTCCCAAGCAAGTGTGACAAAGAATCTTTCCACAATGCGGAAGTGAGGCAAAGTCTCAAGGTGCAACAGGATGAGCCCTGGACACTGGCAGTGTCAACAGCAAAAAAAATGCACCCAAGGGAGCCCACATGAGCAAGTGCACATGTCCTTGCACACTAGCGGATGCTGTCACATGGAGAATGACCGTCCCATAGGCAGGAGGACTCGCAGCAACACTCTCATGCAGCCAGCAGACACTTCTTAACAGCACCATCAAATAGGCAGGGGTAAAACCATGTAAGAACTGTGTGAGAACAGCACAGCGCACAATTCGAGCAGAACGGAGGAACGACAACATGGTGAAGACAGAGACCAAGGAAGCAATGGTGTGCTTAGTGCGCATGCACGGAGCCTCCTACACTTAGCAGCAGGTTCATGTCTGCAGTTCTCAGTTGCATGGAAACTGCTGTGTTGTGACTACGTTGTGCGCATCCTCGCAAAACTGTTTCGGCTCAATGCACAGCACGATTCGAAACAGCGCAAGGACAGTTAACGATAGAACTGCCTTTGTCGCTTGGACATTGACTGGCCCAGCATCGAGTATCTTGGAAATACTGCAAACAGGGTTGCAACTGGAGGGCACAACGTGCAGCCTTTTTGTATATGTTTGTGACAAGCTGACATTGGACAGCCAGGCTGAGTTTCAAACAAACCAACCTCAAATGACTGGAAGATTTCCATGGCGGCATCTTCCTCTTCAGTGGAAGACACCAACGTGCCACCTGCATCTCCTGTCCGCTGATCGCCTACAGCCTTCACCTTCTGACGAAACACAATCCGCTCAGTCCCACACACGTGACACATCGTCAGCTTCATTTCATAGTCCATGAGTGCACTTGTGTGTGAAGCACTGAATCCAGTTCTGAGCACCACTTTGAGTGTGCAGTTCCAGTTGGACAGATTATCCAAAATACTGAAACCTTGGAAATCTCTTGGTCACCCTTTCCACCATGTTGTTGCCCTCACGACTGTATTCAAGCTGTGTCTCCATATGTGTTTACACTTTCAAACTCATTCCAAAGGTAATTTGGTCCTGAAAGCCCAGCGCAACCCTGAAACTCCTTTGCACCATTTTCTGTCACTGGAAATGCCCTCCACGAGGAACAGACTCAAACAACAACAGAGTGCTTGATACTGAATGCAAGCAACTGGCTGCACCAATTGCAGTTGATTGCTGCAATCAAAAGGCAAAGTGCACAAACTACAGCTTACTTTCAGCCAATGTGCTGTGCAGCACATTGGCCTGAAACATGGCCCGACACTATAGCTGAAACAAGTGAAAGCCAAGGAGCAACAGCGCGCACATGGGCTGCATCAAGATTGGTGTTGGGGTGGGGATGGTGCAAACGCAGAAAGGCAAGGAGAGGATGGGTAGATCCTGAGCGCGAAGGCGTTCCCTTGTTTCTAAGCAGTGTTCTCAGCTGTTGCAAATCAATAGTCATCATTGATAGTCTTGAAGGTTGAGATTTGCTGGCAAGACTCCAGGGGCGAAAATCCACTTGGGCACATTGATCGACCACGAAGTGTGCGTGCCGGGGGCATAAGGCTCCATGATCAAGCGCCCGCAAACTGAAGCTCAGCGTCTTATCCTACGTTTCGCTTTCTGGTTTTCAGCTTGGCACAAAGCCAGGACAAGAAATTCACATAGCTGGATGACAGAGTACAATGGGGCCGCAAAGTGGCCTTCTCACTGCTGTCCGTCCGGGGTAGTTCACTCGCCGCACGAAGTAACCCACGCTTGCAAGAGCCGCGCGTTAGCACGCATTTGCACAATTTCAACAAAATCCCGAACTGGAGGAGGGGGCAGCTGGTCGAGCCGATGTCTGCAGGTGGGATGCTTGACAATGGCAAGTTTGGACAGCGGGCAGTCCGCTGCAACGAGCGGCATTTCCTGATGCGCCCAACGGTCACCTTGCTGAAAACTGGGCGGTAGTGCCCCGGTGGCCTGGACAGCGAAGACGCCCCCCTTTCCCTCTTCACGAGGCGCAGTCGCCGGCGGCCTCCATGCGCGAATTGGGCTGCGCTCGAGCGCCAGCTGGCGATCCGGGAACCCATTCCCGCTTCTTCAGATCTGGGGCCGGGCACCGGGCCAGCGCCTTCGCAGACCGGCGGCCGTCGAGGATCAAAGGCACGCGACTGGACAGGCGCGGCCTGCGCCAGGCGGCCGTGCCCGAATCCACACCAGATATGGCGCAGACTGGTCCTGACGCAAGGCGCACAGTCAGACTGGTGGCCCTTTAGTAAACGGATGTGCCACTGTCATCCGGAGCCGTTGGTGCCTGGAGGCTGGAGGCTTGCCAGTGTTGAGGCACAGGAAGTCCACAGAAGACCTGTGCGCTCATGGAGAGGGCTGTTAGATTTGGCGAACCCGCCAGTGCCCTTTCGCCGTGCCCCTGCGCTTCCGACGACGCTGCTTGCATCCGCAGCCCCACCCCACCCGCCACACGCACCGCCACATGCACCACGCCCTCTGTGCAGCTGAAGCCACGGACAGACGACCACCTACGACCCCACGCTCCCTTCGAGCATCCTCGGCCCCCGGGCGCGCTATGCCCCGACCCCAATTCAATGCGCCGGATCATCTGCACGCCCAAGCGACGGGTCAACCTGGGCAGCACAACATTTTGCACTGCTTTCGGTCGGACTACCGTTTCAGGCACTTCCCACGAGAGGCCGGCGGCAACGGACAGCGCGCACGCCCAAGTGCCGTTGCAGCCCATCACCGTTCTGAATAGAAATCCGCCTCAGATTGCGCGCCCTTCGTACGTCGGCACACGCCGTTTGCACTGGCACCGCTGCTAATGCGGCCCATCGGCGTTGCCCATGGCCGCGGGCGCGAGCCTGGAGTCGGCCTCGCAATCGCATTGCAACACCAGCAACAGCTGAGTCCGCTGACGCCAGCCGGGGGTCCAGGCTACACCGAGCGGTCTATGAGGGGGACCGCCTGGGCACGGCGCGGCCAATGCGCATGACGGAAACCACACGCCCCAAAATCGTTCATGTGCCAGTCGCAATTGACCGCCGAAGGTCAGGAAACGGCGACTCGGCCTTAAGACTTATCCGCGCTCTGCTGACCGGTGATGGTCGCAACTGTGGCCGACCGCAATGCAGTCTGCAAGACACAACGCATGCAGCCTCTGGCCGCGGCCAGCCGCGTGGACCTTCCTTCCAATTTGGACCCTGAAGACCACAAAGGAAGGGTGTGTTTTATCCTCAAAATTTGCTGTGTAGACTGCTATTAAACGACGTACCAGAAGACTAAAGCGCCGTAGAGGCGTCATGGAGCATGTCTGTCCCCACTTGTCTCCTGGCAGCCAGAACTTGCCACATTGCGCACAGCGGCTTGCTCCTGCCCTTTTGTGGGCTAAATGCACTTCGTGGGCGAGCTGAAGACGCTGTGGGTAATTCACAAAGGGACCGCGGCTTTGAGGCGTATCTGCGGTTCAGCCGAGCGCCCTTGTGCGCCCGGCGCCCACAAGTCGGCGCAAACGAGAAGAGGTCATTTGAACCGACGCGCACGGGCGGAGTGCACATTTTGGCCTCTGGCGCCCGAGGCCAGGCCGAAGGCGGGGCGCGCTGCGGCACCTTTGTCATTGTGGCTTCGATTGATGGAGACCAGGCGCTCCTCGTCGCTGGTCCGTCAGACGCCGAGTGCCCGTTGCGGAAGGGTCTGGGAACCTGGCGGAGTGCCGTACGGTGGGCGCGGTGGCCCCTTGGGTGGCCTTTTTCCCAGTGTACACCGCCCACCAATTACTGGGCCCTGGATTCCTGCGGCGTCCTGTCACGTGGCCCCTGCACCCCGCAGGGCACCGTTGCCTCAGGGGACTGGTCTCCAGGCGGGCGGCGCGCATAAACTGGGCGACCGCCCCCCAGAGCGCCGCCCAGCCTCCCCGCGCACCCAGCCGGCCGCCGCCCCCGCGCTCCCCCGCGCGATCGCCATCCCGTCGACGATCTGACGCCCAGCGGCAGCGCGGCGCCCTACCGGGTCGTCGCAACTTTCCCGGGATTCGTCAAGCATTGCTGAGGCGTTTCTACCCATGGCGGGGTCGTTGATGCGGTGGTTTGTGGCCGTGGTTTTGGCATGCGCCCTGTGCGCCGACGCCAAGATCGAGGTCAAGTACAACCAGCTGCCAGTGGTGGACGCGGCCGTGAGCGTGGAGTTCACGAGCGAGGGGTTCGAGAAACAGCCGCTGGGCAGTCCTGAGGCGGGGTGCCCCTTGAATGAAGACGGCTCCACCTGCCAGCCCGCGCCCTTCGGATATGATGACGACACGGTGCTGTCGATTACGTTCTCGCTGGAGGCCGCTCTGGGCAACGACAGCCTGGTGAACACGGCCCTGGGCGACGAGACCTACGACCCGCCCACCAAGGTCTCCCTGCGCGCCTGCTACTCCAAGCCGGACACCAAGCTGCGCAAGTGGCGCAAGATCAAGGCGGTCGTGGACGACGACAAGCGGTGTGACAGGAAGATCGTCAAGGCGCTGGACCTGACCGACCAAGCCTGCACGGCCACCTCCTGCACCTACGACTACACACTGCCCTCAGACATCCCCGCGGCCACGTGGTTCATCACGGTGCTGTTCCTCTGCCCCATCAAGGGCTCGGACGACACGCAGTTTTGCGCCGTGGACAGCACTGTGGGCAGCCTCGCGGAGCTCGTGGGCGACGGCGTGACTGAGGACGACCCCGCCAGGTACATTAGAATATTGTTTCTCTCTGATGATGATTCCACCCTTGAGCGCGACGCCTGCCTCGCACTCTTCCTATTCGCTTCCATCCGCCTTTGCCCTGTCTTTGAACGCAATGGTCCTCGTGTGGCGCCCCGAGGTACGGCGTCAATCGCGCTGTTGAGGAGTGCAGAATTGCCAGTGTAGGTGCCCTGCGTGGCACGCTCGTCCTGTGCATGCTCCGAACGGCCCATAGACTCGCTGCTGGAAAGCGCTGTCACAATCTGCATCCATGGACAGCTGGCCCCACTCTGCGTGCTTGCTGCCTGCCCAGGTCCAACCCGATCTACTACTCCACCGAGGTGGTGGACTCTCGGCCGCCGGAGATGGTTGCAGGCGTCATCGTCCTGTCGATCGTCGCCATCATCTTCCTGGTGGGCTTCTTCTCTTACGAGAAGCTCGTGAAGAAGAACGCGTGAGCACGTGTTCGTGAGGCGGAGGGTGGGTGCAGGGAATGCGGGGATGGTGGGCAAGTGTTTCCGCTGGCGCCTCCCTCGCGTCCAGTGTGTTGGCCTTATATACCTGGCGTTGTGCTGGCTTAAGAGAGCCTGCGTTGTGTTGGGCGGGCGTGCCGCGCTCCGGTCTTTATCGGTGACTCCTCGGGGCAATAATGGACTGGCGCAATCCGGAGGGATGGTCGCGCAGCGGCGGGCCGGTGTACAATGGTGTTTTGGCAAATATGTGTGGGGCGTTGGGTGGCGGAGGTATATTATTTGGGACGCCGCGCGCGCGCATGGCCTCGAGTGTGTGCACATCGGCGGGGCCATTTTAACGACCAAGGGGAGCTGTAGCTTGCAGTTTCAGAGTGCGAATGAAATCATGCTTGGTGGCGAGGGCTAGTGTAATTCATCCTGTTCGCGGCAAGTCTGGCAGATGACTGCGCTTGTGTAACCACGGCCGACTTCTTTTGACCTGGCTGGCCGTTGCCAAAGTCCGCGTTGCCAGCTTGACAGTTGCGTGCCAGGGATCCCTGGAAGGGCGATTTCGGCGACGGGCGATATCTGTACGTCTTCCCTTCCCTGGCCAGCCCAAACAAGGAATGGGTCCGCCACCGGCGGCTTTCATGTGCGCTTGACCCCAGACATTCGCTGCGCCGCACAAGAAACTCTGTGCTGAGTTTTGAAGCTCCGGCGGCTGCATTGGCAGCGGCCCGGTCGCTTCAGCAATCGTCGCCATTATGATCTTTACACAACAAGACAAGGGACGAGGTAGCCGTCTGACTCAGCTTCCTATGTGCCCGATCAAGGCGGTGTCCATGATTCGCTCATTGAAATCTAACGTGCAACACAAATGAAGTCCAGAATGTTTTTCTATTTTTTGGAGAACTGTTTTGACGGTGATAACACATGGGAAAGGAGTGTTTTCACCAGTTGGCCACCGGAGACAGAAGCAGCAAGTGTCCTTGCACAGCCATGTCGTGGAATCGATTGGTTCCGACGTGTAGTGTCGTGTGGCTACGGCAGTGAAAGAGAAAATCTTATCTTCTAGAACTGAGGGACACAATGGACACAATTTGGCTTGAGAATTGTCGTGGCTGGTATCGCTGCTGATCC